CTACGTGCATAGGAGCCAAAAAAATGATCAATAAATTGATCGTGGGTCCTTAAGATATAAAAGAAGAAGACGAAGAAGAAGAAAGAACTATGAATTGGTGTTTGTCACCTGATTCATCCCGCCACACGGGCTTCACTTTGGCACTTTAACACACCGTCTGAGGACCACTGATTTAGGAAAAAGGGGGGGGGGAAGAAATTTACAAATGATATTTTGCTATATTTTGATATATTATAATTAATTTTGATTTCATGCGCCAACTTTTATTTAAAAAAGGTGCTAAATAAACACACAGGGCACCCGTCCAAGGGGGACACAATCAAGATGCGCAAAATCGCAAATACACTCGACGAAAACAGTTAAATCATAACTGGGATGTTCCAGAAAGTTCTATATTGTTCCACGGGGGATTCCAGTGGGATCTAAAAGCTTATGAAAATGTTTAGTTTAGTTCTATTGATTTCTATATTTTCCTGGGGATTTTCTCAGTATCGCATTCTTGTCTTTTTATACGTCTCCCCCATCGGGAAACGGTGATGCCACCGGGAAACGAGAACCAAGCAGGGAACGGACTCCCATCGGGGAACAGGAACCCATTGGGGAACAAAATGTTTATAAATGTTGTTATAAATATGTTTTTTCTAGGGTGAACTTTAAAAATTCTATATTTAAAAACTTAGCGACCTTTTAATAATTTATTTTTACAAGGCTCTTAAAATTTCAATGTTATCTAGGAGGCTGTAGGAATTGTTTTTTTTTTTCCTTCCAAATGTTATCGTGTGCAACGCCGGGTATGGCTATTATAATATATATTTATGAGTGTTTCTATAAATCCTTTATAATTTATTTTATTATAATAATAAGCTAACATTGCATGAGCATGGCCAAATCCTGTATAAAAAATTCAACCAAAGACTGTTCTACCTCAAAAAACTGTACAATTTTGGCGTAAACAAGGAAGTCGTTAACTTATTCTACAGTACAACTATTGGAAGTCTGCTTAATTTCAGTATTACCTGCTGGTGTGGGAATTCAACGTCTGATATTAAACACCGCATCAACCGAATAATTAAGAAAGCGAGAAACATAACACAAACTAAACATCCTTCACTTGAAGAACTCTTTGAAAAAAGATGTTTTTGTAAAACTAAACACATTTTGGATGATACATCCCACCCTCTTCATCACAGATACTTAGGATTGGGCCGTTCGGGACGAATTCTTTCCATCAGGCCGAGGACTGACCGATATAAAAATTATTTTGTTCCCCCAATCTGTACGAATTTACCGGCGTGCTACCTCTGAAGTCGCACATCTGAATGAGAACTAATAAGCCCCCGATTTTGCTAAGAGAACTCATTAAATGGGTGTTTGAGATAATTTATTATAAATGTCTTGTGTTCAAATTGTTTTATTTTTTAGCTGAAAATGTATAATGCAATCAAAAAACATATCCATTTATTTGGATCAATAAAAGAATCTTATCTTATCTTATTACTAAGTGAAGTGGGGGGGGGGGGGGGGGGGGGGGGGGGGGGAATCAATTTTCAGGTTTTGTCCAGGAACAACTTTTCCATAGCAATGTATAATGCAATCAAAAAACATATCCATTTATTTGGATCAATAAAAGAATCTTATCTTATCTTATTACTAAGTGAAGTGGGGGGGGGGGAGGGGGGGGAGGGGGGCGGAATCAATTTTCAGGTTTTGTCCAGGAACAACTTTTCCATAGCACGGTTTTGTTTCTCCGCTTTATAGGGTCTCTCTTTTTCTGTTTCAGTGTTGGATCTGCTAAACTCAACTTTGTTAGAACAATCTTCTGGTGTCCAACGGGTCCGCCCTCGTGGCTGGAAGCTGAACCGATCATTCCAAGGGATCCTAATCCCAACAACACTCAATACCTCCACGTGGCTAAGGAAATTTCGCGGGGACTTCACTTTCCATTTCACCGGAGTTTTTTCTTCGGAATCTCAAGGAGTTTTGCTGCTGGTGACGAGGGCAGACAAAAAGCTACCGTTCTTTGAAGTCAAACTCGACGCACCGAAGAATTCCGTGGAACTTAGGTACCTGGGAACGCGTTCATTTCAGAGAGCCAGTCTTGAGGGTGTGTTTCCGGACGGGAAGTGGTCAGAGCTTGAGATATCTGTGCGCGGAATGGAAGCTTTCGTCAGCGTGGACTGTAACAGCACAGGAGCTTTGACGCTGAGACAGAAGATCGGAGCATTGCCCGAAGACGCAGACGTCCGTTTTGGTGGGAAGTCACCAGGACAGAATGGATTGGAGGCAAGTTTGGGTTTTATTGGATTTTTTGTTTTCTTACTTATGAAAACTTTTATTTTCACAATATATTACACAGAACACATTTAACAATAACAAAAAAAAAAAATAAAATAAATAAAATAAAAAAATTAATCACACCACTTTTTAGACAATGAAGAATCTTCCAAAAACGAACCTCTTACGACTTGACTTGAAAATTAAACATATTATCAAGTGGTAAAAATGTTTTAAAACTATGAGCATACAGCATGCATTGTATACCTGCTAAACTTGGTTACGTTATTTTTCATTAACACTCTTTGAAAAATAGCTCGCATTTCTTTATACATTCAGTATACTGATTTATTGTCTTTTATTTTATTTGGAAAAAAAATATTATAGGGCGTTCTGATGACATCACAACTTTTATCTCGTCCACGATCACCCGGTACTTGCACTGACCAGAAGGATAATATTGGTAAGAACATTACATTGCAAATGGCATATAAAATATAAAATGAAAAATCTAAAAAAAACTTCCGAAAATCGCATGAGTACTGTAGGAAGTGGGTGCGGAGGGGATGGCATTGGCACCTTTTTTTTTTTTTTACAAATTTTGACAGTGTCGGCCTCCTTTAGATTCTTTTTTTTTTTTTTTTTAAAAATTTGGACAGGAGCGGCTTCTTTAAAATTTTTTTTTTTTTTTTTGGTGGGGGAGGGGGGAGTAGCTTAAAATAGCTAGTCTGGCTCTGGTATGCACTAACCCTAGCTACGCCACTGATTTAGAAGTAACTATTAATGGGACACTTTGTGTTACTGTGTTTTCATATTGGATTTGATACTTAAGTTTAATAAAATGCTTTTACAGTTTTAATAAATGACTATTGTGTATCTATAGAATAGAATGGACAAAAAAAACAATACTAACCTACAATTCGTTTCCTCTTGGCATTTGCTTTTAAACCTTATGCCTTATACTGAACTAGATCTGTAAAAAGATCATTCGCCTGAAAATTGTATCGCAAAATTGAAATATTAAAAAAAAAAAAAAAATTGATGCAGGTGATAAAGTAAAATGGTTTCTTTTAAATCAGAACTTAGTTTTAATTGAATCATGTCATTGTTTCGTTGACCCTGAAATTTTAATATATCTAGTTATTTCTTATAGTTGCAGACGATCCATTTTCGAATGGAAAAGGCTTCGCGGAATCATCAGGGGAGGCAATGGAAAATAGACTTAATAACCTGGAAGAAAGATTTTTAAAGTTGTCTCTTGTTGTAGAGGACTTACAAAGAGAGGTTCAAATTTTTGTTTTATTTGACATTTAAACATAACGCTCAGAATAAAAAAGAATATCTAATCATTCGAAATTTCCTTTCAACTATTAGTATTAAGTATTAATTTAGTAGTATTCAAATTGTAACTTAAAAACTATTACTTTAGTCTAAGTGACTAAGTGTGAGTATTTAAATTTTAGAATGAGACAATTATGACTATTACTATTAGTATTAGTTATATTATAATGCTTAATTATAATAATAGCAACCACAATAATATTAAATATATACCAGAACACCCTCACTGCCTTTGAAAGGGGAAGCTTCAAGATATGTATAGCATTGTCATTGATGATTGAGCATGATTTCTTTTTTGAATGTATGTACACTAATAGTTGTGTAATTGAAATTATTATGAGCAAGTTTATAAAATTAATACTTTGTCTACACATTATAGAAAATTCAGCTAACCAATCGCATTGCCCATCTTGAGACTTGTGAGTGTGTCCCTAGTTGTAATCACAATGGGACCATATTTAGAGAAGGAGAGTTATGGGCTCCAAATAAATGTACTCAATGTCAATGCATGGTAAGTAATTTAACAAATACAGGAAATACTGTTTACTTTGAAGTATCTCTACAGTCTACATAATATACTGATCAGTATCATACTGTTACATTTTTATGCTTATAAGTATTTTTTTCTGATTGACACTGAGCTTTTACAAATATATTATTTTTTATACTTTATTTCTTTAAAAAATAAATGATATTGAAGTGTAAAAAAATTTTGCTGGGGCTTATTGCAAAAGATTTAGTGTCAAATAAATTTAACGTCACTGAATACACTTAAATTTTTGTAAACTAGTAGTGTGTGTTTAATTTTATTTTCAGAATAATAAACCAGAGTGTGAACATCGTTTTGATCTTCCCAACTGTGAAGGTAACTCCTAAAGCCTACTCTAACTAACTGAAATGAGTCTTGAAAATTGTACACTGTAGTAGCATATGCAATTATATAAAAATACATTTTTTTAAAAACTTATGAAAATAATATTTTTTCAAGGTAAAATATTATCAAAATCTTTTTTAAAATCCTGGGGTAAACCCTAAAAGTCTAATTGCAAGCACTGAAATAAAGAAGTGGGGCAGAAAAGGAGACTAGTGCAATAATTCACATTTGTTAATTACCTGATGTTAAATCTTAAGTATGTTCATAATTCAATGTTGCTCCCTTCCTTTCATCCGCAAAAACCTCTATGGATGACTGTTGTTAAAAGAATAGGACTGTTAATGAAATATAACTGATGCAACCAAAGCATCCTTGCATAGGTCTTAGTTTACCTGATTTTATGTCTTAACTCATCCAATATTCTGTAACAGAGCCATGCTTGAGAAGCCCCTGTTTAAATAATGGAGAGTGCTTCAATGAAAACACAGAACTTGCTGTCACCACATTCCGCTGTGACTGCCCACCTCCATATGATGGGAGAACATGTGAAATCAGACAGAACCCATGTGTCTGGCCTGCAGAGCCAGGTCCATGTGAGGAGAAGTTGCTGAGATATTACTATGACAAAATGTCACAACAGTGTCTTCCCTTTATATTTTCAGGTATACATTTTCCTGTCATAGTGTCACCCTCATTCTGTTGAGCTAATAATTTTTTTTTGAAAGCTTCTATTTACAACAAATTTTCTATAATATATATAAAATATGTAATTTCATGCTACATTTGTAGCTCTTTCTTTCTTTTTAACTGAAAGAAATAAGAATCCTGTCTTTGTATACCTTTTATTTTAAGCTCCTAAAACAAAAAATCTTAATGTGGATCAACTTAAAAACTATTACCTAAAGCAATTTTCAAAACAATTATCAACCTTTTGTTTCTGAAATAAATTTTTTTTATGAGATTGGAATAAATTGCTTTAGGATGTGGAGGGAATGTCAACAACTATCACAATCTTGAAGAGTGCACAAACATTACCCTCAGGGGGGCATGCTGTTACCGTAACTTTAAAACAAGCATTCAGGATGTGAAAGATGACACTCGAGGATTACAAATTAATTGTCAGGTAAAAATATTACATGAACAACAACAAAAAAGGGATGAAAATGATCCAAATTAATTATTAAAATAAACCTTGAGTAGTTGATTTAATTTTAAGTACTGGAATAAAAAAAAAAGTAAAAATTTTCTCAAATTTTGTTAGTAAATAAACCTTCATTATTGTATATGTTTTTTTATAATCAATCAAATAGATGAAAATCGGTTATATCTTCATGTGTTTTATTCAGGAACTTCACATTCAGGAATGCAAGGCATTGCACAGAAGTATTGGTGAAGTAGAATCTGAGACAGAAGTTATCAGCTTCAACCCTGGTCTGTCATGCCAAGAGGCAACATGTAACACAGCTTCCATGTGTGTAGTGGGACAACGGGAGTACAGGGAGGGAGAAACTTTTACACTTGGATGTCAGACATGTACGTGCATGCCACAAGGAAAGGTTAACTGTGTGTAAGTAGGAGTATTAAGCTCTTCAAGTTAACACCACCATGTCCTCTCATGAATTTTCAAATAGATTTTTTTGTTGTTATAAAAGATTAAGAGAAATGAACTCATGCATATTTAATTAATATATTGAAGCTGTCATTTAAGATTTCTTAACATTCACATTGTGATGCAAGTCTGAAATTTTAGAAGCGATTTAAGCAAGATAAAGAAGTACATTGTGATAGTTAAATTGGAACACTTTTGTAAGAGCCAATCATCATCAAATTTTGTTAATTATTATTTACAATTTCTATAACTATGGTATAATAAAGTGTTTGGAGAGAAATTATATTTTGATTGCTAAAAAAAAACGGGGTTTAAATTTTGCTACACATAATAAAAAATGTTACAATGTTAAAATGTTAAAATCTTACATTTTTTGGGGTAAAAAAACACATCTTTAAGCAGTCCTTGAAAATTTCAGATGTGAAAGATTGAATGTGAGGAAAGAAATCCGGGACATGACTCCTGCAGAGATGGCACGTTTCCAGAATGCAGTAGCCATTCTTCGAAGCAGCCCAGATAGGACATGGGAACAATTTCGTGATCTCTACATGTATCATGTGATGCAGGCTTCAGGAGGAGCCTATTTCCTGCCATGGCACAGAACTTTTCTAAGACAGCTAGAGCAAAGGCTGCAAGAAGTAGACTGTGACATTGTCTTGCCTTACTTTGATTTCACCACTGATGTTGGGTTTTTTGAGGAGGCTGTGATATGGCAGCCAAATTACTTTGGTGGAAATAGTAATGGTGCCTGTGTTCTGGAGCATTCATTTGGTACCAAAAATGTCTGGAAGCCATGCTTTGTGAGGAATTTCAATACCAGTATACAACTTCCAACTCAGGTAAGAGTAAAATGCTGATGCCCTGAAGCATATTTTATAAATGAGCTATCCATCTTCTTTTTTATTCCTGATTCACAATAGAAAAATTAGATATTTAAGTAATAAACTTCAGTTACAATTTATAAATTGAGGTATAAAAAAAAATAAAAATAAATCTATTTAAAAGGTCATAAATAAAATCTAAATATTTCATTGTATTTTAAAAGTTTAAAATTTAAAAAATTGTATATTCTGTTATTTATCATTTACTATTAAATTTAAAGAAAATTGTAACCAACTGTTTGAAATGTTATTTTTTCTGTTACTAGGCTGAGCTGTTGTTGGCTCTTGCAGGAGATGACTATCTAGAAATGAGTTTCCGTTTGGAAACTTATGTGGCATACATTCATAACTTTATTGGGGGGGATATGATGACAATGTCCAGCCCATATGACCCGGTGTTTTATGCTATACATACTTATATTGATATGCTGTACTGGACTTGGCAAAAAAGGGCCCATAACAAGAACAAATTTCCTGCAGCTTTTGGAAACATTCCCATGATCCCTTTCAATATTCCACCTGGAGCAGTTTTTGATTCTGAAAAAGATTTGTGTGTAACTTATACCTTACCATCTAAAGGTAATTTTTGTTACAAGAATTAATTGATTAAAAAATTATATTAAAATATCAATATACAGTTAATAAATGTCATTTTTTTTTGTTTTAGTGTAAACATGACGAACCATTTGCAATGATTTTTCTCTAGCAGTTCGCAAGCCCCCATTCACTATCTACATGTTGAGATTAGCTGCAATATAACTAAAATAAAAAAACTAACAAAATATTTACATTTTAATGATAAGACATTATTTTTCTATACCAGGAAGTCCTTGTACTATTTCTAGCAAAGACATACCTAAAAGTACCCCAAGTATTAAAAGGAGTGACCTTGACCCAGAGACGATTTATGTAGTGGATAACCCTGACCTATTGAGAAGAGATGTGAATGAACTTGCAAAAATCGGTGGGTTCAATAATGTGTAAATTTGTGCTGTTGGGTACTGTAATTAATTTTTCAAGTTATAAGTATGACTCTGCTTTAGTATGCTACACTTTTTAGTAAAATTTACCCATAATATCTGTTGTGTATAAAATAACACACTAAACAACAATGTCCAAAGGTTTTAACAGGGATGGCTATGATCAGAGAGGTTATGATATTGGAGGCTACAATCGCTATGGCTTCAATGCCTCAGGATATGACAGATACGGCTACAACTCGAGTGGACTGGATAGGGATGGCAGGGCAGACATTACAGGAAGGTTTGGTCCAGATGGGTATGATGTTAGCTGCTTAAACAGGCAAGGTGAATAAATCAATGCTTATTTGTCACAACTTTAAAATGGCAACATCTCAAAATTAAAGTTATTTGAAATTCAGGTCTTCCTGTTTTTTTTTTATTTGCTTCAAAAATATAAATATTTGCTTCAAAAATATAAATATTAGGGAAAACAAAGATAAGATTCTTGATGGGTAAGAGATTACATAGTGTGTTTAAATAAATTTTGAACTTGCTTTGTATCTAGAAGAATACACACTTTGTATGTGGAGAGAAACATCTAAGCTAATTTTTGTCAAGAAGCCATTCTTCCCCCTTGAATGTTTCCCCTCTTTAAAGTTAGATTATCAGTATGGGAAAAGACATTAAAATAACTGTTTCAAAACATAGTTTTAACATGCAGTCCAAAAAGGACCTATTATGTAACCTATGTAGTATTTTATCGTAGTAGCTGATATATATTTTATTTCAAAACAATTTATGTCAGTGTTAGAATAAAAAAGAAATATCACCATCTAGTTAAAACTTGGGGGTGAGGTTATGATTTTTTTTTTTAAACTGGGAGAAACCAATCACATTTGTGTCCTTTTAGGTCTCACAAAGGTAGGATTGGATCAGTATGGATTTTACACAAATGGCTTAGACAAGTCGGGCTGCAGCTACTATTTCAGAGGCCCGTTTGCTCCACTCCACACATATAAAATCTTCTCCGTACTAAAAGAGCAGTCCAAGGAGTTCCTGCTGAGTTTAGCACGCACATGTGTTGGTTTAGATCCAGTGCCCGCCTACTGGCTGGAAATCAACTGGGCCTCAAGCACTAAAGATGTTAGCTGTAAGTATTCTGTTATTTCATATTTTTTAACAGCTTAATAATACTAGAATAATATAAACAGCTAAAATTATTGAGTGCAGTGTTAAAAAAAAAAAAAATTGATATTTTCGACATCAGTGAGGGCTGAAATTTAATGCACAGCTTAGTCTTATAGTACATTTGGATGCATTGGCTTTTGACAACGGGATATAACTGCATTCTCTAAATTTCTTCTTCTTCTATATCTTAAGGGCCCACGATCAATGTATTGATCATTTTGGCTCCTATGCATGTAGATGGGATTTGCAATGTTCTTGGTCAATATAATACAAATAAATCTCAAAGAAATATATTTCTTCCTTTGTTATTCTATTGGACATACTTTTATATATGGTTCTCATAACTCTTTCATTTTTTTCCTATGTCATTCTATTGCACAAAGGGATTATGAGAACTGTTTGATTAAATATTTTCATTGCTTTAAAATCCCCTTTTCAATCTTCATGTGATTTAAAAGGTGGTAGCAAAAAATAAATTGTTTCTTAAGTTCACTATGGTTACATTTTATTCTTTTTCAAGAAGTCACAATGCATGTCATTAAAACAGTTAAAAATTATATTTAGAACTCTTCATTACTTTTCCACCTATTAGATTTAGCTTCAGTTTATTTTTCCCCAGCATTAGTTCCAGTAGAACTTCCTGATATGCAGACTGGGGAGTCCAGCAGATTTTGTTTCGACACCCAGCCCTTCCTGACCTCATGCCCATGTGAATTTGATATAGCCAAGTGTCAAGTCAACCCCTGCATCAATGCTACATGCCACTCCTTCCCAGAGGCCAGCTGCAGAGCAAGCTTCTGTGGGGAATGCTATGCAAAGTGGTACCATCGAGACAAGGAAGTCAACTGTGAAGGTGTCAGAGGTAAAACGTATACTTAAATTTTATAACTTTAAAAAAACAACTCTTTTTGAAAGCTTACATATTCTCTACATAAATTGAATACTCAATGAGCCCCATCTTTGTAGGTTTACACAATTCAGTTACTCATTTAGTTTAATTTTTAAAATATTTATTTTTAAATATTTTGGGACATTATAAAGGCTATAAATTTAAATTTAAATCTATTCATATTTTTGAAATTTTGAAGAAAAAATATTTCATTTTCACTTGAATAATCAATGATATCATTGCCAACTACCTGGGTTAAAAAAAACAGTTAAATTTCATTTGAAAATGAATGATAATAAAATTAAAATATTTGTGCCTTTTATTTGAACTTGATTTAAGTTAAATATATTTTTAATGGCCTTAATATTGTTGATGATTTGTTTTTCTTTAGGAACTACTTATTCTCCTTGTTTTCAAATATTTGATTCTATTTCTAAGACTACTGTGATCCTAATCCGTGTCTAAATGGTGGAACTTGTTATCCATCAATCTGGAGCAATGAACCCCAGCTTTTTACTTGTGATTGTCTTCCTGGCAATGAGGGACGTTTGTGTCAGTACGAAGTGTTAGATCCTTGCATACTTCCTCTTAGAACAGGTGAATTAAGTTCTACCTTCTAGTCAAAGATTATCACATTAATATAGGAACATTTGTTTCAAAAAATTTACTTTAAAACTCAATTACATCATTTCCCCGCTCACAAAATCAGGGACATAAATCCACTTAATCATAAACTCAGTGACACACAATCCCTCATTCACAAACTTAATAACATACATTCTCCATTAAAAAACTTAGTGACATAGCTTTCCCCTTACTTCAACTATATCAATATCAATTATTTATACAGTTGTGATTACCTTTTCTGCATTAGAAGAGTCACTTGGACCATATCAATCATAACATCTTCTACATCCTTCTAGGATCATGTGTCAGCAGAGAGACACGTTGGTACTACAATCAACAAACAGGTCACTGTGAGACTTTTGTTTACCTCGGATGTGGTGGCAATGCCAACAGTTTCCCCACCATCCTTGAGTGCCAGGATCAGTGTGTCAAAGGGGCTTGTTGTTCTCGCCAACCCAAGTTTCCATCTTTGTTAATAGGATTTGATAATCAGGGATATGATAAGTAAGCTGAGAAAAGAAGATGAAAGCAGTGGAATTAAAGTTTAGAATAAAATATTAAAAATTGATAATTTGTGGTAGAAAAAATCAAAGTAAATAAAGAACCTGGTGATTATTAAAATAAATTTTGCATTTTGTTTTAAAAAATCAGAACATTCTAAAACAAAAATGCTTACAGATATGGCTTTAATGCTGAAGGATACAATATCACTGGAGCTCAGAGAACCATAGACAACAGCTTTGCTACAGGAAGATTTAGATTTGATGAAGAGGGATTTGATTGGCAGGGTGAGGGAATTCTTCATATTTTTTTCATTGCTGTTTTCAAGAAATTAAAAAGGCTTGCAAATTAACATTTTTGAAATTATTTAAGGTAAAATGGACCACAAAAAAAAAAAAACACATAAAAATTGATTGATCTACTTGTTAGCAGGGTTCTTACAAACCATTAACTTGTGCCACAGTTTTTGGAATATATTAATATATATTGTTAAATTGTTATTATTACAATTATTTGATACAGTTCATTTCTCTATGAAATTAAATTATTTCTAACCCTTCCCCCCCCCCCCCCCCCCCNAATTAAATTTTTTCTACCCCCCCCCCCCCCCCACCCCAGGTTTTGATAGAGATGGCTTTGGAAGCCGTGATGGCCTGAACCGTGCCAGCTACAACAGAGAGGGGTATGATAAGGACGGCTTCAACATTACAGGCTACAGTAACCGCGGAGAGTATGATGGCAACATTGACTACGACGAGGAGGGCTATGATGCTGAAGGCTTTAATAGGTAGAGCAGCTTCTGCCTTGAATAAAATTACTTGGACTTGTAAATTAACTTTGAGAAAGGTTCTCGAAAGATAGGCTTAATATGCCAACTGGATGAGGAGAATTATTTGCAGGGGTCTGTGTAGACTTTGAGTTTGTAAATATTTATGTTGACTCAAGTATATGTATTTAAGTTGACTCTTTAAAACGGATCCATTCTTAAAAAAATTAATTCAAGTAGGTTTTAAAGGTATGCTTTATTTTATTGGTGAATTAATTATATTTTTTTCATTTATGAAAACTGAATAAGTTTTGTGTTGTAGTGTTAAATATTGAAATTAAATGAGAAAAGGAGGAGTGATTTGTTATTTTAATATGTCTCTAAGTTTTGTATGTCCTGATTTGATTCATTTTAGCAGTTCATTTTCTTCTTGTTCATTATTTCATGACAGAAAGAATAATCATGGGCTACCCCCCCCCCCCTTTAAATAGCTCACATTTGTTGTATTTAAGGAAAAGATTTTAAAAAAATTATATTATGCAATTTAATTCTCAGAGCTGGTCTGACTTGTCATGGAAATAACCGATTAGGTTTTGACATTTATGGAGTTGGTGGAGAATACACTTACAACTGTGCTGTTAAAACTATGTCCAAGTGTCAGGAACTAGCCAGTAAGTACGATTTTGGGGTTAACACAGTCAATAATTTGAAAAAAACACTTCAGTTCTGTTAAACATGGGGAACAAGTAATTTTTATAATTGAAAACCTCTTCAATGAAGACTGAGCTACAGAAAAAGAAAAAAATAGTTTGTCACAATTTAAGTTGTATAATAATTTATTCCAGGAAAGCTATAGAAAATAAGCAGCAAATTGAATCCCCACAATATTTTAACCACATATCTGTCTATCAACCTCAAAAGGAGACGGTCATGAAATCATCAGGTTCACCAGGGGAAAAACTTGTGATGAGGCCAGGTGTGCTGCGCCCTGTGGCTGTCACCACAGAAACCAAACCTACACAATTTACCAGCAGTTCAAGCTGGGCTGCCAGACCTGCTCCTGCACAGAGAAGGGAGTTATCCTTTGTGTGTGTGACTTTGGTGTTAAGAGGAAGGAAATCAGGGAGATGAGTAATGATGATATGAACAGGTGATTATTGTTATGGCAAGTTTTATTCAGCACATACTTGGTAGTTGGAGTCCCATGCCGCAAATCATGAAAATTTCTTAAACCCTGACCCTAACCCTAACCCTAACCCTAACCTGACCCTTGAAGTATTGCATAAAAATCCAGAAAAAGGTCACTTGCAGTCTATGTCTAAATTAATTAAAGTGTTATTAGCTACAAAAAACGATCCATGCATGAAATCATTTGCTGGTGCTCCTTTTTTTTTATATTGTTAAGAAATAAATAAATAAGGGAGCTTCTTAGTTCATGAAGTAATTTTTTAAAAAATGTTAAAACTTAACAGCAAAAAAAAAAAAAAAAAAGCATTTGAAATATTTGGAGAAAATGTTGAGTAATTTTAAAAGTAAACACATTTTTTTTTATATTTTTAAGAAATAAATAAATAAGGGAGCTTCTTATTTAAAAAATTAATTTTTAAAAAAATGTTAAAACTTAAAAGAAAAAAAAAAAAAAAAAAAGCATTTGAAATATTTGGAGAAAATGTTGAGTAATTTTAAAAGTAAACACATAATACATGTTTGCTCATGAGTGCTGCTGGAAAAAATAATTGATAATTTTCAAATCATATCAAAAGCTGAAATGAACATTTTATAACATTTCAGTGAGACTCCATTATAATGTTAGTACTTGAGAGGAAATGTTTAACTTTTCTGAATGCATTTTAAAAAGATTCAACTTTTTCTTTTTTGGATAGTTCTTCATTGCTGTTACAAACAGATGTTTCACAGTTGTTGATGCAAAAATTCATGAGCTTATTCTAAAAATATTTTGTTTTCAATTTTCTAGGTATCAAAAAGCAATAAGGCAGTTGCTTCAAGAAACAGGCCAGCCATCTGAATGGTACAAGTTTGCTTCCCTTTATGCTTCACACAAACCTCAGGCTGTGGGTAACCCCATGTTCTTACCATGGAATCGGCAATTCATTCGATATGTTGAGCAAGCCTTGCAAAACATTGACTGCGGTGTGGCCATTCCATATTACGATTGGACTATTGATGCTGGCAAACCCAAAAAATCGCTAATTTGGGCAGCCAACATTATGGGAGGCAATGGCGGCGAAGATGGATGCGTGCGGTATCATCCTTTCAAGTCCTACCACCCTGCATATCTGTCCCCTTGTCTCAGGAGAAGATTCAACAGCTCTGTGAGCCTCCCATCTCTTGTGAACATTGGACTAGCTTTGAGGGAGCCCTCGTATGACCGTTTCAGACTGCAGGTTGAGATGTTTGCCAGACTGTACCAGAGTTTTGTCGGAGGACACCTGGCATCTGATCTTGCACCCTATGATCCGCTGTTTTTCTCTGTGATGGCTTTCATTGACAAGTTGTGGTTTGATTGGCAGGACTTGCATTCTGAAGGCCTCTTGGGATTTCCTTTGTCAGTCAGATATGCTAAGATGGATCCGTTCAAATCAGTGCCTGATGATGTCTTTGACTCTCGAATCCAGCTTTGCGTGGATTATATCCCCCTCACTGAAGGACCTCCGTGCAATGTTAGTGACATTGTCATGTATGGATACAATTCACTAGGATATGATCGACATGGATATAACCGCCAGGGCTATGACAAAGACGGATATAATATCAGTGGCTTTGACATTTCTGGAAACCCTGACCATAGAGGCATTTACAATAAGTACGGATTTAATCGAGAAGGTTTTAGTCGCACAGGATTTGATAGCATTGGAATAGATCAGTTTGGATTTTTCAACGACTCTTTCAATTTGGACAACTTTGATCCCTCTGGGTACGATATTACTGGATACAATCGTTATGGATTCAACAGACAAATGTATACACCATATGGATACCACACGAATGGATCCTTTCATCCAGATGTCAATGTAGCCAGCCTTGGACTCTTTGACTCCAAGGGCTATAACAAATATGGATATAATGCCAATGGATTTGATCGCAATGGATATGATATTTTTGGTTTCACATCCAAGGGATACGATAATAGAGTCTGCAACTTTTACTTCAATGGCCCTTTCCATGTGTTGGTAAAGCATCGGGTCGCCACAACACTAAGTACACTGAATACTTCAACTCTGTCTGGGATTTCAAGGATCTGCCCCCAGGTCACACCCCTTCCTGAGCAGATTATTTATCAGGATTGGTTTGATCGTCAGGGTCAGAGGTCAACATTGTATGACCTGTATCAGTACCAGGTCTACACTCACAGAGTTGATGATGTTTACACCCCACGGCAGACTAGCATCACAGCAGACTTAATCTGGTTACCATTAGCACCAGATGAGAGGTGAGAATTTTTGTAAAGATTAAGTTTAAAGCTCACTAATTCAGTTATGTTAAATTTAAAATATTAAAAGTTTTATTACAGAAACGTTAGCCAAGGCCATTCTCACTTTTAAGCAATTGTTGTAATCTATAATATTGAAATTGGTCACATAATCATATTGAAGCTGTTCTGATGTATTTTTGACATAACTGAACAACTCTTTATACTTAAAATTTACAGGAGCGTATTCAGAGAATTTGTTTGTCACAGATATCATTTTGAATGGGTGAACCAGTAATGGGAGACAATTTATATATTTAATTTTTCTTGTGCATAATATACAAAGTGTTGGGACTTGTGAGGACTGGCCAATCAGAGTGAGAAGAAGAGAATAATTGTGGAGAGTGAACAGAGACTGTTGACTGTGTATCACAGGGGTCGGGAACCTTTTTGTCTGAGAGAGCCATGGACACCACATATTTTGAAAAGTAAATCTCTGAGAGCCATACATTATGTTTAAAACTAAAAATTCAAGTAAAATGTATGCATTTTGTGTAATTTCAACACTAAAAATACAATAATTAAGTCTCTGAATTCTTTTTAATAAGTTTATTATGCGGTTGCTAATCAATAATGAGTATTTCTTACCATTAAGATGACTTTTTAAAAAATAATCGAACATTTGTCTGCGAGCCAAATGCAGCCATCAATAGAGCCACATGTGGCTCACGAGCCATAGGTTCCCGACCCCTGGTGTATCATGTTTTATTAATAACATTCGCTAGTAAAAGGCTATTATATTATTTATATTATGGAATTATAATAGGAATTGAAATTTGTGTGATGTGATTCGAAGTATCTTCATACGCATGTGAAACATATTTATTGCAGTGGATAATGTGAATGTTGATAATAAAATAGTGACTGTTTGAACCACAACAACTAAACAACAACTATTTATAACTAAACAGAACCGTGACAGTTTATTGCTGGACAAATAACTGGCATCAGGAACATTACCTGTTTTACCAACTTGCCAACTGCTGTAAATAACTACTCTCAGCTGTATGAATTTTAAATGATATCCGTTTTAAAGACACCATGCATGTTCCATTTTTTTTAGTGATAGAGAAATACATTTTAAAAGAAGAAACAAAACTCGAACAATTTGACCAAATGCTGGTCAATAACCTTAGATGTGATCATCAAAAATAGAACTTCTTATAAATATAAGCATTGATATAATCAAATGTTTTGTAAGGGTTGTGTTCACCTCAAACTTCATCAACTAAATGATGTCAAATGCTTGTACATTTTTAAATTATTACTAACCAGCCTTTCAGAATTATGATATGCCAGAGAAATGAGATATACATGCAGTGGATATTTGACTAATCTCTTCTTATTTCAGGCTCTGCCTTGTTACTGAAGTATACACACATTGTCCTCTTGGACAGAACCACATCTTGTGTTCCAATGATCTTTGTGATGGCAGAGTTTGTCCAGGTAAGGGGACAGAACCATATTTTGTAAGAAAAAGGATCAGTTAAGTTCTTTCCCCTGAAAAGATGTAATCTCCCTGGAAAACAAAAATATGACAATTTTCTAATCTTATGCATCAAATTTCTGATGAAGGAGAGCAAAGAGTCAATATTCATGTTTTTTAAATTTAAATGAGAAAATTTTGCAGCTATTTAATGAAAGGAAAGCAATGGTATACATTCTACTTCATTAATTATTAATATTAATTTACTTTTTGTAGGATGGATTAAGTAAAATATAGATGTCTAAATGAACATGTCTGAAATATTTTAAATCTATCAATATTTTGACAGGACATCCAACAGCTGTGTGCAGAGTAAGGTCATGTGGTGAATGTTCCAGAGAGTGGTATGAGGCCATTACAGGGGCAATCCTTCATTGTTCTGGTGAGGATGTAATGAAAAATCGTGATGACACCACAATGGATATGAAATAATTTTAAGAAGTGATTGAAATTATGTGTCGAAAGATCTTAAAATATAAAATAAATTTGCTTTTAATAAATTAAACTATTTTATATTTTAATTTTAAAAATTTGAAACAAATTAGATTAAATTTATTAAAACTCTGAAGTAAAATTACTTTAATTCCAAGTTGTTCCCCCTGGATACATAATAGGTTGTATTGACAGAGGTAGTTTGGAGAGAAGGGAAGAGGAGACATGGATGGATGGTCCTTGTCTCTCATGTGTTTGTCTGGTGAGTTATCTACTATGAGATTAGACTTTTTTGTTTGTTAGTACAGTAATTTATATAAAACAAAGCTACTCTAGATTTTCCAATTTTAATGTCATTTTTTTTACTCTGTACACATTCAGTTGCATATTTTATGTGAAATGTTAAGTTTAATCAATTTTAAATTACTATGGGCTAAGTTGGCTGTGCACATAGCGTTAGATAACATTGTTAAAATGTCCCAACTATCACAGTCTCATTGTCTTTCAGGATGGTGAAATCGCCTGCCAGATAGAGGAGTGTCCCCAGGAGAGATGCTCACACCCCATTCTCTCCCCTGACCAGTGCTGTCCCTCCTGCAATGGTGATTATTTTTTTCAAAATGTCAACAGATGTCAACTAACATTTAAATAAGCAGCAATGAAATTAGGAATGGAAAGTGGGGGGGGGGGGGGGGGGGGGGGGAGCGGGGGTTGCCCACAGAAAAAAAGCTGGGACCCAAACTGTTTCTGGCGGGTCTGTAAAAAAACAATTTTATTTGCAAAGTCAGGGTTTAAATTATCCCCTGACCAGTGCTGTCCCTCCTGCAATGGTGATTATTTTTTTCAAAATGTCAACAGATGTCAACTAACATTTAAATAAGCAGCAATGAAATTAGGAATGGAAAGTGGGGGGGGGGGAGGGGGGGAGGGAGCGGGTGTTGCCCACAGAATAAAAGCTGGGACTCAAACTGTTTCTGGCTGGTCTGTAAAATAGCAATTTTATTTGCAAAGTCAGGGTTTAAATTCTTCTTGTGTTATATCAACAATGACCATTATAATAATAATAATAATAAAGTGTATTTCAAACACACGCTTCATCCCTAAAGGCTCGAAGCGCGGTACAAAAAAAAACAAAAAAAAACAAAAAAAACAAACAAACAAACCAACAAACAAATCTATAATTTACCACATTTAAAACAAATGCAACACTACAAAAACTAATTACAAGCATACCAAGTCAAAGTCTTTCTGTCCATTTCAACCATAAGCAACACATATGACCTAGTACAGCAGGACCTAAAGCAAGTCCAAGCTTGGAGGAGGTGCCAAAAAGTCCAACCAGCAGGAAAATATATATTTTAAAAAAATCCTTGCATTCATAGATCTTGAATAAGGTATCAACACTGTGAAGACCACCACTGCATAAAACCTGGAGCATCAGTTTTATCCTCTGAAATGCCTTGCAATAACTATAACTTCACTTCATGTTTTTGCCTTTAAAATAAAATGAGAATTTGCCTTTAGCTATTATAAAAATTCTAATTTTTTTCATTCTTCCATCCTCACTGAATAATGTCAATTTAAAATAAATTTTAGAAATAAAACCAACTGACAAATCATAAATAAATTTATGCTATGTTTTTTAAACCATCTAGTTATGTTTTATTTTCATATGCATTAGCAGGTAACTTGTCTCAAAGGGATAACCACTGTCTGTGATTGAGTTCAACAATTTATTTGATAAAGAAACTTCTGGTGCAGGAGCCAGTATGTATTTATTTGCAACTGCTATTATATGATGTTTCTCAACACAGGGTGCTCTCACGCTGGAGCCTGTATGTATTTATTTGCAACTGCTATTATATGATGTTTCTCAACACAGGGTGCTCTCACGAAGGGCAGGTCATCATGTCTGGCAGTGATTTCACAAGCCCCAGTGATAATTGCTCCATGTGTCACTGTGACAGGGGTAATGTCACATGCAGCAAGCAGATCTGTCCTGATCTGGGAGACTGTCAGAATGTCATCATGCCCAAGGGCCAGTGCTGCCTTGAATGTCTGGACTGTGGTGGTTACGTCCAGGGAGACAGGTGGAAACCAGATCCTTGTCGTGATTGCACCTGTCAGGTAAGTGGGGGGCCTTAAAATATCTTAAAGAATCATATTATACTTGGAATGAAATGTTTTCCAAGTTTATATAATCACAATTTTTCGGGGTTTTGGAACATGCTTTTCTTCAAAAGCTAATGGGATGATGTCTCCAGTCTCATAGTTTGAGACAGGGGAGAAGCTTGGGAAATGCAGCACCCAGAGACTTGATGTTAAATTTGATTTATATATATTAAAACCAGGCCACTCAAGGAGTCATGTGCAATGAAAGAGCAACTCTTCTCAGTAAGGCAACCATTTAACTCAAAAAAAAAACAAAAAAACATTTGCATCATCCCATTTACAATGCCTATTTTAAAAAAAATATATCATTATTTCTTTTCAATCATGAGTTCCATTCATGTTCACATTCACCATAAAAAAAAAATGTCTTGTGTTTCACTATGCCCAGGCTGGTCATGTGATCTGTACAAACACCACATGTCCGGCAACTGATTGTGAGTTTCCCTTCAGACGTCCAGGTCACTGCTGTGCTGAATGTTCAAGTAAGTCTTTCTAGTTTTTCTCTTGTCTGTATTTCGATGATTGGGAGGGGGTGATTAGTAGCATTTGGATGGGGGCGGCGATGAATAATGATTTCACTATATAATGATTATGACAGTTTATATAATATAGACTATTTTTATTTCGTAACATTTTTTTTGTCTGAAATCAGCATTGCATTAATCGGTTCATTTTCTAATAAACACTTAAATGTGTATCTGATTCAATACCTGGTTTCAAAGACTTCATGCTTGAATTGGTCATGAGGGAGTAACCTTAAAATGGAGAAACCTAAGTTACTTAAAATTAATGCAGCAGCAGAATGTTCCCTTTCAGCCATTTTGAATACACCTGCCAAGGATCTATAGTTGTTATTCATCTGTGTGTACATTTTCTTTTTGACTAAATATCCACTTCTAAAGAATTCATATTCTCCAGGCTCCCAAAAATATGGAATATTTCCATGTGTAAATTTTCCACAGTATATGTTTGATACCTTTTTGGTCGTTTAAGGGGTGTAGTTGCATAATGGTGAACTCTGGTTGAAAGGATTAGCTTTGGTCATGATGGGTGCCGACTGGTTTAATATTTCCACTTTGTAGTTAAAATCCCTTAAGGCAGGGTTTCCCAACCCTGGATGTGAGAAGGCATTCCAGGGTGTGGGAGAGGGTATGGCAGGTGTTGTGAGGAAAATGGATTATTAAAATAGTCTAGAAATCAGCTTTTAAATTAAGATATTAATATTTATTCATTTTTAAATATTTCATCAGTAACATTTTCCTTAATGTATTAAGTCACAGCCTTACCTTCTAAGTTCTGCGGTTCTCTTTGCAATTCAACAAATAAATAAATTCAGTAAATTGTGTGCTTCGTTACTTTGGTAGGGTGTGTGAGACTTAGTAAAATATTTTGTTGGGGAGCAAGTGAGTCAAGTGAGGGGGTGCGAACTATAGAAAAGTTTGGGAATCTTCCTTCAAATCTAATCATCCTTAATTATGTTAATGTCTCAATAAATTGTCTACCTTCTGTTTCCTAAGCCGATAAATATTTGAACATGTAAGACTATAATGGCTCTGTTCCTCAAAATCACAGAGTGCTTACATAGAGACATTTTTTACAATGATGGGGAGGTTTTTAAAACATCTCCATGTCAGACCTGCACCTGCAGACAAGGCAGTGTTGCATGCTTTAGACAAGAGTGCCCTGCAGTGACTTGTGAGAACCCTGTCACACCTCGGGGACAGTGCTGTCCAGCTTGTGATTTAGGTACTCCTTTGTTCCATTTAGTTCTAAATTAATAACATCATATTAACTTAATATTTGTTATTTTTATTACATTTTTTTTTATCTAGCTCTTCTTCCAAAATACATGTCATCATTAAGATACATTAATACTATGAAAAATTAAAATAAATATGAAATAAAATATAAATAGATATGAAAAATATGAAAAATTTGAAATAAATATGGACAAAAATGAAATAAACATGAAAGATATGAAATAAACATGAAAATTATGAAATAAATGTGAAATTTGAAAAAATAGAAACTAATCTTATCCCAAACACCATAAGTAATGTCCAAAAAATAAGGTTTTAATTCTAATCCAAATTGTCTTGCTTGTTTTACAGACTGCGAATATGAAGGCAGGGTTTACACAGATGGCAATACATTCAATCCCATGTATAATCCGTGTCTCAACTGTTCCTGCACTAACTCCATTGTGAGGTGCAGGACTGTCAGATGTGAGGCTGTTGACCTTCCATGCAGGTTTCCTGTTCGCAGACCAGGAGAATGTTGTCCATCAGTGTGCACATGTAAGTAATTTAGTTGGTTCAAATGTTCCTTCTTTACAATTCAATTAGGTATCAAGTTGCTGCAGTGAAGCATTTTCTTTTTAAAAAGTTGAGAAATCTTTTAATAGTTTGTAAAATTGTATAACAACATTACTTCCAATAAAGCATACCAATTAACAGATTTTAAAATTATACCAAAAACTGAGCAACATAAGAAGTTTGGACTGAGACAAAGATTAAGTAGATTAAAAGACTAAAAAATAGTGCTTGAAGCTTTATGCTTTGTTTACTACAGTGAAACCTGTGAATAGCACACTAATTTAGGACCATAGCAAAAGTGGTGCTAGTAACAGGGGTGGTGCTATTCACAGGTTCAGTCCGAATGATGATGATACACAATAATTTGAAAAAAACAAGATATAGGCACATTGAAAATAAGAAGAAATATGAAACCAAACAGGAATTGAATACATTACAAGCTAATTCAATTGGTTTTTAAGAAATCATATCCTTGCCAGGGGTGAATTTGTGCATTTGCCAGGGACAGCACTATTTCAAGTTGCTCTATTTACAGGTTTCACTGTATTAAACAATTTTTTTCTCTACTCCCATACAGATATTGTTAACGTCTTCATTATTTTAAATTTAAAATAGATAATGCTATAGAAAAAGAAAAATAGTTTTTTGGTTTACTATTTTAGCTTGCGAAGACCAGGGAGTGGAACATCAAACAGGTGAAACCTGGCCATCACATACTTCACCTTGCGATATATGCGAGTGTCAAAGTGGAACGGTCATCTGCAAACCACGTCAAACATGTCCTGTCCAATGCAGTAATGGTGTCATCAGGCCAGGAGAATGTTGCTCACAGTGCACAGGTTTGTTGAAGTATTTGTGCAAAAAAAAAAGGGCCAGATTTTTGTAATTACTTTCAACATTAATCTTTAAACACCATTAAACCTGTGTCATGACTATTTTCTGCATGCATTTGAATACAAAAGAAGTAGAGAAATAATTAAGATTAAAGGACACCTTTTTTATCCTGTACTATCTAAGTTGGTTCTCTTCTTTTAACAGAGTGTCTTTTCGAAGGAAGAGTAATCTCAGATGGTGAAATTGTCACTTTCAGTGGAGGTGACACTTGCCGAATATGTACTTGTCAGAGGGGCAATATGAATTGCCGCATTATGCTTACAGACCAGGAGTGTTCCAAGTTGAATTGTGGCAGGACTGAAGTACCATCAGGGGAGTGCTGTCCAACCTGTGCAGGTAAATGACTTCCTTTTACTGTTTGAGGGCCCTTAGATTTTTTTTCTTAAAAATAAACAAAAACACTAGCTAAACATTTTATTACAATATTTTTTATCAACATAGTTACACTGTATATAAACTGCATGGTTTTGATCTGTGCAATTTATATTTCTTATATGCTTTTATTAACTGTGATAAACAAAAAACACTTTTTTCACCGCATTTTATTAAAATTTTGTTTTCAGGTTGTGTATATAAAGATAAAAAATTCAAAGATGGGGAAACAGTCTCACAAGATAGCTGCTCACAATGTGTTTGCAAAGAAGGTTGTTTTGATGGTGTACAATTTTTTTTTAATGCATATCTTTTTTTTTTTATAAGATAATAATTGATGGACTGCATTCAAGTTGTGTAAATGAAATATAGGAACAAGGTATGCTAAACTTGAATTAATAGACAGGACAAAAGATTTGGATGTTTCGGCTTAGAGCCTTCATCGGCAAACAAGACAAAAGGAATTATGACAAGTAACAGAGCACAGTAAATAACTTATTAAGAGATTTCCTTTTGTTACCGGAAGTAGGATTAAAGGAAGTGAAAGACTTTAAATATTGGTTCTGTGAAAAATAAGGTTGAGAATCTTAATGGACCAAATTATGTGTGTGTAATATTTATTGTTTTGAAGATAAATGAATATTAAATCAGCTCAATTGAAATGAATTAGATACAAGGATATAAAACTGGGGAATTATTGAAAAGGAATTAGAAAGCAGGTTTGGTTGACATTCTCTTTTTTGGGCCAATAAATCATATTTTTGTTTATCTGAACACTTCACATTGGTTTACAACACATATAATGTACTTCTTTAAATTAGGTTAAAACACATAGAATGAACTGCTTCACATTGGTTCAAAACACACAGAATAAACTTATTCACATTTTTTTAAAACACAATATAAAAAATATATGTATTATGTATTTTATCCAACATTCAATGTCATACATTCACAGGGGAGGTCATCTGTGATAATGAATCAAGTCGTTGCCCCCCAACTCCATGCCGTGACCCTAAGAGAGTTGAAGGCCGATGCTGTCCTGTGTGTGACACTTGTGTATTCTATGGTCAGGATTACAAAGAAGGTGACACATTCATCTCTCCATTGGATCCATGCCAAAACTGTGTCTGCCAGGTGGGAGTTTGTTTATTTGAAAAATATATGAAATTGTGCAAGTGATTTACCACCGAACTTTAAAAAAAACATTTTTGAACCTGCACCAGAATCACAATGGTATTATTATGGAGAAGAATGTGCAGTTTTTGCCTGAATTATAGGCTTAAAGCCAAATAGAAAAATATTTTATTACAGAAGTATTACAGAAAGAGGTAATGCAACTTTTAAAATGATGCTGAACAGGCTGGTATTGTGGCATGTACAACAATGAAAGACGCATGTCCTGTGGTGGCCTGCAGCCATCCAGCCAGAAGAAGAGAGCAGTGCTGTGAAAGGTGTGATGCTTGCTTGTATGAGAGAAAACTTGTGCGCAACGGGCAAAGGTTCACGGGTGTTGACAAATGCAAGACCTGTGTTTGCAAGGTAAGGAACGGGCTTTAATAAATGATAACATAAATTTTCTTATTGTATCACAATCTTAGGGGCTTTAATAAATAATAACATAAATTTTCTCATTGTATCACAATCTTAGATTATGGAACTAATTTAATTGTTCAGATCATTGTTCTTGAAATGTCTACTGGGCCTTGTACTTCTACATCAGGGATTTTCAGTTGAATTCTATTCAAATAACTTCATTTTCTGAGACTAATCAGAGAGACAGCATGCTGCTGAAATATAAATATGATAAAACTTTTTATGGTAGGATGGATCAGTACTTTGTGCTCAAATTGAATGTCCTGTGGTGATGTGCAGCAAACCTACACGAATGCCTGGACGTTGCTGTCCTGAATGTGAATCTGTTTGTGTTGTTGAAGGTACAGAGTATAAAGATGGAGAAGTATTTCCTTTAACCCGAGAAGAGTGTACTACTTGCACTTGTGAGGTAAGTCTTTCTTTTTGTGTGGTCTGGAAGTTTAGAAGAATTATTATCATAAAATATCTAAATATAGTGAAACCTCGAATAATAAAAGCCCCTGTTAACTAAGAAATAGGTTGACAAACCAGTTTTGTGAAAAATTTTTGTCTCGGTTAACGAATGAAACTTAGGGTTATATATTCTTTTGTTAACTTTATCTTACCAGCTAAGTAGTGCTTTGGTGAGTTTGAAGTTAACATCGTATTTCCAAAGTGCTCTGTTCAAAAACACAACTTTTTGTTAGTTTTGCACTTTTGTGTTATTTTAGCCCTCATTTCGGCCCCTAAAAGAAAAGTTTTAATAATAGGAATCTTGTTGATTTGGAAGTAAAGAAATAAATGATACCATAATTAGATAATGTCCTTCTGGTTTCCAACATCTCCAAGCAATACAATATGGGGATATCAAAATTCTGAAGAACAAAGAGAAATTAAGGTCACTAATGGGTGCCTTGGTAATGAGCAAAGGTCTAAAGTGATAGAGAAAGTAGAAAAACTGATTTTAGTTGGGATATATGAAAAGGAACTGATTGAAGATAGTTTTATGGAGACAATAATTTGTCAGTTGCAGTGGTTTGTTGGCTAAAAACCAATTACAGGTGTGAAAACTGAAGACCTTTAGGCCATTGAAGGGTGGTTGGATTTTATTTCAGAATGATACCTAAAAATATAAAAATACATAATTTATAAGTCTGAAACAGATAAATTGAATTTACCTTTTAATTTGAAATGTTATTTCAATTGGCAAACATTTTTATTTAAAAACTAAGTCTCGGAACAAAATAATGTCCTCATCCAAGGACCCATTATATTTCTTTGCACATATTTTGTTTTTAAAATGACCAAACCACTTCTTTCATAAATAAAACTCTTATTCAAGAAAAAATACTCTCCACACAAAGTTTATGCTTAACAGTGAGAAAAAAAATCCTTTTTTTAAAAAAAACTGGAGAAATATGAACCTAATTTTAATCATATCTGACCAGACATTACACTAATGATTAACATATCATTTAATCTTTAAATGTATCAGGTGGATTAGTATTCATCCTCTGTTAGTTAAATGTAATTCATTTTGTTATTTCTTCTCATCTTTGTTTTCGTTATTGTCTTGAGCCCATTCTATTTCTTTTCTTTCATTTTTTATGTATAGGTAGGAAATACATATGTTATATTATGGAAATTTTTTTTATATATATTAATGTTTTCTGTTGTACTGATGAAGTCATGAGCCGAATGTTTGAATTTGTATTGTGTCTAATAATAATTAAAGCTAAAAATTTATTGTTTCACTTACACAAAGCTTTTGTATCATTAATCTTTTTTGTGAAGTTGAGCTTGCCTGTATTTCACATTAATTTACACAAAGTTTTTAATCAGAGCAGTGAAGTCAAGTGCAAGACAGTTGAGTGTGAGTCCCCAGACTGCAGCCACCCAGCAACTCTCAGAGGTGAATGCTGCCCCAAGTGTAACTTCTGCCTGTTTGAGCAGCGAATCTTTAGGAATCAGCAGAGATTTTTTCACCCCAGGGATCTGTGTCAACAGTGTTCTTGTGATGTATATTCATCTTAGTGCATTTACACATAAAGAGCCTGTTAACAATTCATTTACCTAAATTTTATCAAGATCTTTAGTTTCTTTAATCTGAAAATAAGCAATCTGTTGGATTGAGATAAGATGAAAACGAATTTTTGACTTGATTATTGTAAAATTTATTCTTTTTTTTTCCCCCACCTAGTAATTCAAATTTTTATAATTTTATGTTGTGCAAATGTTTATTTTAAATTAATAACCACAAGCAGTTTATAATCATACTCATGATGTGAGATCAACAATGACATTATGATACAGATTTTAATGGCTTAAGGTAGAACACCACGTTGGGACCCTAAAATTGAAGATCCTTTATAAAAAATTAATTTTAATTACATAGATGGATTCTAGGGGGTAAATAAATAGTATCTGAGATGAAATTAGAAATTTTATGCTAGTTAGGTTCCTAATATAGCTGCCGTTTTACTAAATTTAGCCTTTTTTTTTTCCAACATTGTTGACTCATCAGCCAGTGGACTTTTAGCCTTAATTTTTGGTACAAGTGTTCATTAGAATTGTTGGATTTTAATAAATATTATTTTGTTCTTTGTATTTTTTTTCTTTTTCATTATTTCTAAGTGAAAATCCTGTTGAAACAGCAAGGTGTTAACATTTTTAAAAAAAATGGATTACCCAAATCATAAAAATATGTAGGCCTAACTGCTTCTTCATAATTTCATTTTTTGATATCAAACTTATTTCTATCAGTGACCAACTTGTTCAGTCGTTCAATACTGTTTCTGTGGAAACATTTCTGCCAGATCCTCAATTAACTGGCTTGATGAAGTGAATCACTGCTTCGGGATTAACCTTACTCTGTTTATAGTTATTAGAACCTACCTAATACATTCACCATTGGTTGCTTAAGCAGAAATTATGATTTGGTATTTTCTTATTTGGCAGAATGACACAATATGTCTATATTATTATCAATAAAGGATAGTTTTTTTTTAATCACCAAAACAAGCCATTGATTTGTCATGATTATTGACACAGAAACTTTTGTTTTATTGGTCTACTAAGTTCCTTTTTTTTCCCTCATGTCTGTAAGGAGCTAGGAGTTGCTAGATTTAACTTTCTACTTATTCACATAATATAAATCAATCAAATAAAGTTAACCAGACCTGAGAATTAGAGAGAAAAAAACAACATGCCATTTTTAAGTTACTTGCACTGTTCTTACTTTTTATGTTAGATAACCAAATAATTAAGGGGATTCCCCCCCCCCCCCCCCCCCCCCCCCCCATTGCTGCTCCAAATGGCTTCCTGGATGTTTAAGATTATAATTTAAACTAATTTTTTGTAAAGCATATTATTATATCGTTGTTTTAGCATCGTAGTAACCAAGTGTTAACAATAGTTGTTGGGCAAAATTTAAAGAAGGCTGGGTACATAAACATGCAAAACATTTTTAAAAAATTATTGCATTTCAATGTTAAATAAAAAGTTAGATTGGTAGTAAAATGCATGTAGTTTACAAATATTCACTTAATTAAATAAGATAAGTTTCATAATTTTCCAACAGATATTTAGAGATTTCCTACCTTAATATATTATCCACAATGGTTAGTTAATGAATAAATATATTTCAGTGCCTGACATCATTGACTGATCTTTCTTAATTTTGTGTTAAATTTTATGGGTATTATTTAATCCAATTTTTTTTATATTCTTATCCAGTTCGGCACGGTCACTTGTCTGAAAAGCATATGTGAAAGTTTGACCTGCCCCAATCCAGTACGAGAGCCAGGGTCTTGTTGTCCTGTGTGTCCCAAACAATGCTCCCATAGTGGGCTAACTTATGATGATGGAGGAACTTTCATTAATCCAAATGATAAATGTGAGGATTGTTTGTGTAGACAGGTAAGTCATTCAAATTTTAAAAAAAAAAACTCTTTTTAAAGTAATTTTTCAAATATGCCCCCAAAAAATTGGGGTGGGGGGAGAATTAAGTTGAAGAAAGGAGGATTTGAGTTAAGTTTAGGACCCAAGATCATTATATTTCTAAATATACATAATAATAACTTTTGAAAGGTTAAAGAAATGGACAAAATGTGAATAAATAATATTTTGTAAAATTAAAAATATAGTCTATAATCTACACAAATGAGTGTGTTAGACTCTAAATTATTATATTACCTTTTTTTACAGGGACAAGTTCATTGTAAACGTAGAGGATGCCCTAAAGTGGAGTGTGCCAACCCAGTCCAAGATGGCTGCTGTCCTGTTTGTTCAGGTGACACCATCTTATTATTCAGTATATTTTTTATTGTGGCACAACCACATTTTTTAAATTGGCAAGTAGTTTTTCGAGCAATAGGTTTGTTTTTTAAAGAGACCTTTAAAAAAAACTAAATATAAATCATTTTTACTAAATTATGTTATTTTCTAGACTGTACTTTTGGAATCATGCTGCTCATTGATGGTGAAACTGTCCCAGACCCTAATGACAATTGTCAGATATGCAAGTGTGACGTTGGCTCAGTGAAGTGTCACAGCGTTTCATGTCCGGCTGTGTCATGTACCAATCCCATACAAGATGGCTGCTGCCCATCATGCGCTGGCTGTGATTACAGAGGCAATCGCTACAAAAATTATACAGTAATTGATGATGCTGACAGGTTTGTGGAGATGATTGTACTTACAGCTAAAAATCTATTTATTATTTCTAATTTTATAGAAAATATTAGACATTTTTTAATTACTTTATCATTCTTGCTGTTTTTATTAAGAAAATCTGGGCTCAAATAGAAAATTTACTTAATTACGTATTTAAATAAGTTAAAATTACATAAACAATAACCATAAACATGATTTTATAATTGTTGTGATCAAATCTGGTTTCTTGCTTAACTGAAGAATACAGATATATTTTTAAAATATCATAGTCTTATGTTAAGTACATTCTATTATATAACTGGGTTGAACACAAGGGCACATAAATTGTAATATCAAAATGGTTTTTTTTGTAAAACATTACATTTTTTCATGACATTATTTTTCTTAAATAAGTAAATATCAACATTGTTTTGTTATGAAATAGGGTTTTAAAGAATGGGTTTAGCTTGATGTTTTTTTCATCAAGAGAATTATTAAAAAGATGAAACTTTTGAAAATCCACAAAGGGTGTTCTGAAATAGTCCCTGTCGGCTATTTCTTGGGTGTATTGATACTGTGGTCTCCCCCATAATAATACATATATAATACACCCATACATATAAGCATTCCCCTTCCCCCAATTTTATTGTGAGCATATTTAAAACATACTTATCTTAAGTTCAGCAGAAATTTTTTAAGTATTTATATCATCTATGCAGATGTCGGACATGTGTTTGTCAGTCTGGAAATGTTAAGTGTGTGGCCAATCCATGCCCACCGGTTACTTGTGAACACCCCCACTTTGGTCAGTGCTGCGATGAATGTACCAACTGTCTGTACAAGGGTGTCCTGTACAGAGACGGGCAGAAATTTCCTGATCCAAATATGGACACTTGTCAAGACTGTACATGCTTGAAAGGTATGGTTTACTGTTTTAGCCTACATATGTTCCATGCCTAAAACTAAACCTTGAGAATTAAACAAAAAATCAATGGGATTATTTGCAAAGAAATTTATTTTCTTTGCAAAACATAGACTATAAACTTATGTTTAACTTTACAAATATGAAAAGTTGTCATTGACAGAGCAGGGACTGTTTCTCCAGGAAATGTTGTTTGTACAAAGAGGATATGCCCAGCAGCTTCATGCACACATCCTGCTCAAAGACAGTGTTGTACTGAGTGCAAGGACTGTTTGTTCAATGGTCAGTTGGTCAGTGAGGGAGCTATTGTACCAAACCAAAAAGACTCTTGTGAAGAATGTCAGTGTCGTCAGGTAAACTGATAACATTAAATAATAGAAATGTCTGGGTATTTCTTGCTATCATAAAAAAATTATCATGTAGAAATAATAGATTGTTGACAATTTTCATGAATGATTTTCAAATGTGTACTAGTCAATTTCTATAGAAAGAAGGTAAGTTTTGTGTGAAGGAAGTAATAAATATTATAAACGGTAAACATTTGTTCAAACCTTGTAATCTATTATTCATCACAAATTACAGTAGTTAAAAATCAGGTCTGTAGCTTGTTGTATATTTGCACTATGCAGCACATTAAGGAATAAATGATTTGTTTACACCTCTTTTTTCATATTTCCAAGATTACACTTTTTTTTTTTTACAATATTTTTAAAAAAGTTAGACTTCAACTCCAAGCCATAAGGCCTCCTTTGATTGGCATTAAGTTTTTGAAGTTTTAAAATACAGCGAAGTACAATTCTTCAAATAGCATCTTTAATATTAGGTTCTATGTGTAGCATCTTTTTATGTCTTCTTTGTTCTTTTTTCAGGTAGCAGTAGCTGTCTCCTTTATTTGTTGAGACATTTAATGAAATAAATTTATAGTCTTGCATGTATAATTCATCATCTTCAATGTTTTGCAGTTACTAATGACAGTTGGGATGAAAAATAATATCTCAGTTTCAGATTTTTTTGTAGTTGTCTCACAAAGAATTCAATTTATCATATTTTATACCTAGTAGGCTGTTTTACAATTATTTAAATTACATCAACCTGCGTTACTTATTCTGAACTAAGTACAATATTTATTTTAAAAATCTGTTTTAACAGAAATTGTACTTACTTTAGAATATTTTTTAAAAAATGATATCCAAAAGCCTGGTTTTGATCTGCTGTTTAGGGCAATGTCAACTGCAGGCGCAAACAATGTCAATCAGACCGCAAGTGCCGTAATCCTGTTTTACGAGGATGCTGCAAGGAATGCACAGACTGTACTTACAATGGTCAAGAGTACAGGAGTGGAGAGAGGTTTATGGATCCTGCATCAAACTGCATTATTTGCGGGTAATAGTTTAATAGTCTTCACTGTACTTTAAAATTGAGTCTTTACCAGGGTGTCTAAAACAAAGAGGTTAATTTTATTTAACATAAGCTTCTGCGTTTATGAATTTTGTTCACAAACATTTTTTTGTATTAAATCCAGTACTTTATATTTAATGATAAACAGTTTGAAAGTAATTTAATTGACTGCTATTTGCATTTTATGTTTTTTAGATATTATGCAAATTAAGATATAATTAAAATGTTGGAACTTCAGTTGAGTTCTTTGATGTGTTCTTGGGAGAGGTGGTGTGAGGTTAACATCACAGTGAGCTTCTATGGTGGGGATGAGGGGGTGGGGTTGGTTGCTATTACTGTTGACACATAGATCGTTTATATTATTTTTGTATCAATACAAAATATTAAAAGAGTCAATGACTTTAACAGTATTTTGAGTCTATGTGATATAGAAAAAACTAAATTAAACACCCTGATTCAGATTGTATTTTTTGAGAATATTACCTTAAGCATTATTATTTGGGTTTTCTTTATATCCAAATATCCATTTAGCAGGCGGGCTCTTGTGGGTATATTCTATTCGTTATAGAGCTTAAAATTTGATTTTTTGCTTTTTAAAATCTTTTTAGGTGTGCCTATGGAGAAGTTGTGTGTCAACAGCGCACCTGCCCTCAGGTGACATGCTCCCATCCTGTTCAGGGTGAATGTTGTCTGGAGTGCACGATGTGCTATTTCAACAGCAGAACCTATTCCAGGGGACACAGATTCCCTCACCCCACTGACCGCTGTCAAAACTGTGAGTGTCTAGATGGCAACGTCACATGTTCACAAAGAGCTTGTCCCAGTCCCGACTCATGCACACATCCCGTCTCCATCCCCGGAGAGTGCTGTCCTGTATGTGGTCAAGACTGCATGTACCAAGGGCAGGTCATTAAGAATGGAAACAGTTTACAGTATCACTGCCAAGTGAGACAGCTCATCTACATTTACTATGACTTTAAACCATTTTCTTTAGAAATGTATAATCATCCTGCATGGTCTTTCTTTTTTAGTGATTATAAAAGGCCTGCATAAAAATGCAAAAGCCTGAAATCTACTTTTTGCTTTCTTTTGGACACTAAGCAAATTCCAAGTTTTTAGGAGTTATTAAAAGTTTGTTAAATTCACTCATTTAAGCTCTATCTTAAAGACTTGTGTCCCTATTCCCTTTTTTGTGTATATTGTGTTAAAATTGTTGTACCAGAAAGTAAATCTAAGTGGAGTGGTATTTAATTTGACACAATTCCAAATCTTATTTTGGGTGTTAATTATTAATTCCAAATAGATACTCTCTACATCCCATTTAAATCTTTTTAGAAATTCTTATTTTTAATGTCTTGTAAATTGAAATTTCTACGCTATTAATTTCTAATTTCAAAATTTAAAAACATCTCTTTGGAGGAACTACAGATTCAATACAGAATCTTATTATTGTGTTTTTTTTTAACAAGTTTATCATTGTCACTGAGGTTTAACTAACATACCCTCTTTATACCAAAGGACTGTCAGTGTGTAGGAGGAAGTGTAAATTGCTCTCCAAAGCAATGCCCACTAGCTGACTGCCCCACCCCTGTCATGGAAAACTGTTGTCCTAAGTGTATTGAATGTATGTCTGATGGCATCAGATACAGTGATGGACAAGTCTTCCCTCATCCCAAGGATGCGTGTTCGCAGTGTATATGTGTGGTGAGTTTCATATTCATTGTCTTCATGTGTTGAGTTTACCAGGTGTGTAAGTAAGGGAATTTCATGTTCTTAGTGTATGGATAAAAGTATGTTGCATAAGATTTTACAAGCTCAACAAAATCCTGGACTTCCAATTGAGGGTAAAAAATAATGATCCGAACATGTATGTTATAAAATTACTTTTGCTTATAGCACACAATCAAGACTGTTAGATGTAATTTTGTCTTTAAAAACAGTTAAAAATAATTAGGAAACATTATGTACAATGAATTGTTATGTGTTTTTCCCAACAATGTATAAAAAATAGTCATTATTGCATAAGTTTAAATTATTTCTTTTTTTACGAAAGCGTGGGTCAGTTGAATGCAGCAGACAACCCTGTAAAGCTGTTGATTGTTCACATCCCAGTAGAGGGGAATGTTGCCCAGAATGTGATGCATGTAACTTTGCTGGACGCACTTTGGCTAATGCTCAGCATTTCTTGAACCCCTCGGACTCATGCCATGACTGTGTCTGTCAAGTAAGTCTTGCAACTCAAATGTATGCTATGACTCAGTCTTTCAAGTAAGTCTTGCACCTCAAATTTATGCTGTGTCTGTCAAGTAATTCTTTTTACCTTAGACTCATGCTATGAATGAGTCAGTCAAGTAAGTTTTGCACCTCAAACTTATTCTATCATTTTCTCTGTAAGGAAAGTTTTTTACCAAAGAAGTATGCTGTCTTGAGACATTTTTTTGGCCATTGTTATTGTTTCTAGATAAAAATATCAAGTATATCCTCTCCTGCCATCTTGACCGAGGCCAGGATTCCTTAACCCTTTTAGTTCAAGGATCCCTTTTGCATATTTAATGAAAATCATGGATCCCTTCTTACAATAAAGTATCTAAGTGCTAAAATAAAATTACAAAGGAAAAGCAGCTCAGACTCCTTGACACCTCATGACAGACTCCAAGGGGTCAGTTGACAACAGGTTAAGAACTGCTGCCCTAGGGAATTATGTTTGTGCATGGCAGTAAATGGACAGAAGCTCATAACTCCGTCTGCTAATCAGAATGTTTGATTAATGGGAGGGTCACTGTTTTTTTAATAGAAAATGTAATCTTTTGCACACCAATATTGTTTTTATCGCTGTACTTAAATTCTGAGTGATATTTATTTTTTTTTAAATGTATAATTTTTAAATTTTTTTTTCAATCCCAAGAATGGAAATGTGACATGTTGGAAAAGGCATTGCTCACCAGTGTCATGTCACAACCCAGTTACTGATAACTGTGACTGCCCAGTCTGTACTGCATGCAATTTTGAAGGGAGACAAGTTCCCAATGGACTTTCTTTCCAAAGTTCAGATGCCTGTGAAGATTGCATATGCTCGGTAATTAATTACAAATAAAAATTTCAAATATAGTTAAGTCTAATTTTGTAAAAAAAAATTTAAGTGCTTTAAAGATGGAATAAATTATGTACTGAGTTTGAAAAAAAAATCATGTAAGTTTGCTCTCAATGCAGAACACATGACAATTCAATTGAATTAATTTAAGACTTATTTGTAATTCATCCTCTTTTTGGATTGACTCTCATTGACAGAGTGGCACTGTTACTTGTCACAAACGTTTGTGTGGTGAAAGCTGTACTCATCCAGCAGATGTACAGCGCTGTTGCCCTCAGTGTGACAACTGTCTATACGGTGGTCAGTTCAGGATTAATGGTCAGATGTTTGTGCCACAAGGTGAACCATGTAACAAATGTCAGTGTGAGGTAAGAATAGAACTTTTTTCCTTTGAATGTTTAAATAATTTCATTGATGAAATTTGTGAAGAATGACATTTTGATGTTCTAATTCTGAATGAAATGCTCACTGCAGACTGATATTATAAAATGCATGATAGTAATATAGACTATTTTAAAATGTATTATAGAAATACAGACTGAAATTATAAAATGCATGATAGTAATACAGACTGATATTTTAAAATGTATGACAGTATAGTGATTTTATTTTCATTTATGAAATTTGTTTGCCAGTTCGGTTCCGTTACATGTCAGAGCTTACCATGTCCTCCGCTGGCATGTCCAAAAGCTGTACAGAAAGAAGGAGACTGCTGTCCTTCCTGTCCTGGTAACTATGCAACCTTATATTATGTCCTTGTGACGCATTTAGAAAAGACCACAAAAAATTATTAAATAAAATCTACATTGCAAATGAACACAAAAATCATTTTAAATTTATCACTATTTCAGAAAGTTTTCTTACATTTATTTACTTAAAATGTTATTCCTGAATAATACTTCCTGACTTAACAATTCATATTCGTTGTCTAATAGTTTGTCAGTATCTTGGCAAAACTTACAGGGATAATGAAAGATTTCCACATCCTGAAGACTTGTGTCTGGCATGTACATGTAAGGTAAGGTATCAATTGTAAAATCATCAAATATGAATATTGATATTTCTATAATCGTTATTATCTATAAATCATTTTATTATCAGAATCCTTAAATATGATGAAACAGTTCTTTATTTTGGAACTGTGACCTTGGCCTTGTTGCATCAAGTTATAACACAAGTTTAAGTTTTGGAATACAATTATCAGTGCTGCCAGCCTGGAATCTTACATTATATTTTTATTAATTTTTTTATTTATAAAACTTTCATTGTTCCAGCTGTTTTTTTACCTCTATATTTAGTAAGACTACTTAAACACACCAATAAATAGACATTAATACCTTGGACGCTGTTGATATATATCTTTACCTTCACAAATTTTATTGTAGTCTGGCATGGTTGATTGTGAAAATCGGAGGTGTATGGTAACATGCTTGCATCCTCGCCCAGATACTTGCTGCCCATCTTGTGATTCATGTTATTATCAAAATATTCTATATAAAAATGGGGCCAGATTTTACCCAGATCCCTGCAAATCGTGTACATGTGAAGTAAGATATATTTTGTAACTTAGAAAATTAACATTTAAATACAAGGCACTAATATCTTATTAAGGATGCATGCTTTTGGTATTATAATTAAAGATTTCTTAGTTTTAAAACACATCAGTGTGAAGGTAACTTTTACAATATACCTGATACAAAATTTATAATTTTTTAAATTAATTTATAAATGTTGCAGGATTTATGACCCACATCAAATACGACAGCATGTTTCTTCTACTATTTTTTAGAATGGTAATGTTGTCTGTGAAAAATATTCTTGTCCCACTTTATCCTGTGTGGAAACCAAGCGTCCTGAAGGGCAATGTTGTGAAGTCTGTGCAGGTGATTATCAAAATATGTTCCTTAATAAATGTAATATTGTTATCTCAGATTAAATCTTGGTCCATTATTAAATGAAATTTGAAAAGTATTCATTTTTTATTTTGTAATGTTTGATTTTAATTGCCAATACGCATTTTGATAATTTGCTGTAATATTTTTTGCCTCTAAAACTAATGGAATTTATATAGAAAACCATAAAAACTAAAAAAATAAGATAGGCTGCAAATTTTTTAAGTACTTCATTTCAAAATATTTAAATACACAATTTATCACAACACTGTTAGTGATAGGAGTCAGATTTTTTAAATACTTCATTTCAAAATATTTAAATATACAATTTATCACAACACTGTTAGTGATAGGACTCCTTTTTGTTATGAGGATGTACATTTAAAGGAGTTCTTCTTTTTTGTTATCAGGATGTACATTTAAAGGAGTTCTGTACAGAGAAAATGAATATTGGGAATCCCCTGATGATAAATGCACGACATGTACCTGTCAATTGGGGCTTGTCACCTGCCGCAACATTCCATGCAACAATCCATGTGATAACAATACACTTCTTCCTGGACAATGTTGTCATAATTGTAAAAGTAAGTTAAACTTGTTCTATTGTGTTTTTAATGTTACTTTATCATAAGCATAAGAAGAAACTTATTTTGGTTTTTATCTTTGATAACATTGATATGGTCATGTGTCTAGCTTGTCTTGAAGTATAAGTTCAAATGTAAAAGATGTTAAATTTTTCAAATCCAAAATGAAGTATTTTCTGCACACAATTTCTGAATAAGTAGATGATCCTTGAATAGTAAGCTTAAGGTTATCACTAATTAATCTAACTTTGCAACCACATCAGGCTTTTTATTTTTAACACAATATTTTGAACTTAGCTCATTCCCCTTGACAAGAGTTATTTCATTATTTTTCTTTACTAAGCAAGAATCTCAACATGAATTTTACTCAAGATTAAATATAACAAAACTGAGAATATGATGTAAATCTGAATCATGCACCATTTGTTTGCTCTTTTCTGCCTCTAAAACATGTATGAATCGTCATCATCATCATCATCGTCATTGCCTGTCGTTCCATCTGGGGCATAGGCCACTTACAAAGGCTCTCCAGGCATCACAGTCTTGGGCAAGTCTCTCCAGCTGTCCCCAGTTGTGCTCACTCTTTTTGATGTCTGCCTCTAGTTCCCTTCTCCAAGTCATGTTGGGTCGACCTCTTTTTCTCTTGCCCTGGGGGGTTCCAAGTGAGGGCTTGTCTCATGATACTTTATGTGGGCTTTCTGAGGGTGTGGCCAATCCATCTCCATTTGCGTTGGCAGACTAACTCTTCCACTGGTTCTTGTTGTGTGCGCCGCCAGAGATCCTCGTTGGTAATGACGATGGGCCAGCGGATTTGTAGAATCATTCAGAGACATGAGTTGATAAACGTTTGTAGCTTTTTTGAACCAGCTGCTATTGTTTGCCATGTTTCTGCTCCATATAGCAAGACAGGTTTCACTGTGGTGTTGAATATCCTGACCTTGGTCTGGAGGGTCAAGTTGCTGCAGCACCAGAATTTTTTTAGCTGGTTAAATGCAGCTCTTGCCTTGCCAATTTTCACTCTTATGTCGGTGTCTGGCCCTCCTTGTATTTCAATGATGCTGCAGCTGTATTATTTATGGAATTTCTACTCTCATTTTTAGTTTTGGTTCTTGCAGGCTTATTGGTCATATTTTGAAAAGCTTAATGTTATGCCAAGCTATAAAATTTATATGTGCTTGAGAAAAGAGCTTATTTTCTTGATGTATATTGCTGAGCATACAATATTGTGAAGATTTATGAAGTACAGACTATGTCCTAATATATGGTTTGGAAAGATGTAAAGGAATAGCATTTTAAGGAAATTTACTTTTGCAGTAAAGGTATTTCTCTAAGGAGTAAAAAAAAAATGCTGAAAATGTTTCAATCCATGTTGAGGAAGGATATATGAAAGATAACTTGCACTTATGACTGTTAAAGTTAATGATCTGATGAGAAAATGTTTGTTAAAGTTAATGATCTGACGAGAAAACGTTTGTTAAAGTTAATGATATGATTAGAAAATGTTTATTTCTACGTTTGTTAAAGTTAATGATATGATTAGAAAATGTTTATTTCTTTAACAGCTTGTAACCATGATGGAAGTGACTATCTCAATGGTGATGAATGGACCTCTAACGATGACCCCTGTGAACAGTGCCAGTGTGAGGATGGGAGAAGGAAGTGCTCAAGGAAGTCTTGTCCAAATGTGGTCAATTGTCCTTCAGGAAGCCTTAGGGATCCAGAGCCTGGAAGCTGTTGCCCTTCTTGTGATGAAAACTGTAAGTCAAAACTTAATTTTTTATTGTTAAAATGTTATTACACAATACCAAGGACAAGATAGTTTTCATGCCACACTGTCAGTTAAATGTAGCCACACAAGATTAAACAACTTGAATAAGAGCTACTTATTTTATGTTTTATTACTGTAACACGATCTTGATCTAATTCATCCCATATCCCTGTGTTCATTACACTTAATAATTGGGAACATTTATACAAATGTCCAATAGAGATCTTTACTGCAAGAAAGTCTTTACTCAGTTAGTGTCACCAATAATTTTTCATTTAATGCTGCAAATATGCATTAAAATAAATCATTTTGAAAAAAGCTTTTGTTTTAACCATTTTTTTTTGCAAAAAACAACAAAAATGTTCTTCTTTTGACTTAGTCACTGCAGGATGCAGCAGAGAAGATCTTGGGAAAATCATTCAACCACGATCAAGTGACCCTTGTTTTATGTGTGAATGTCAGGTGAATAGAGCTGTTTAGAGTCTACTTCTTTAATTGAGATCATTATTTTAAAATATTAAAATAAAATATGAAAAAATGTTTTTATATGTTTTCAATTCATGTTTTAAATTGTAACCCAATTGAAAATTAATCCACATCTAAAATACAAAAATTTTTATATATTTTTTAATATTTAGCAAAACTTTATGTGGGACTGTACAAAAGAAGTGTGCCCAACTCTACACTGTCCTATTAATTTCCAAGTCCATTTGCCTAATCAGTGCTGCCCAAAATGTCGAGGTAAAAAATGATATTTTTATGGGTCATCATATGATTATCTAGCAATTTTTATTAATCATGAGATGTTGAAAAGATAATAGATGCATAATGTACTCACAAAAATGGGAGTACATGTATTCCAAATGTAGAAGTGTGGCTGGCCGCTGGAGGGTGGGGCGTGTGTGTTGCATTGTGTTTGATTAACACATTTAACCCTTCTCGCAATGCCAAAAACTGTAGCCGAGTGGTGTGTGTGGCTGGCTGACAGTTTAATTATGTTTAATATGTAGAACCTTGAGAAAATCAGGTCTTGAGGAATATAGATTTATTTGGTTCTTTAAACAAAGCCAAAGAAAAATATGAAGGAAAAGGCTAAAGAAAAAGTCTTAAGAAAAAATCTAAAGAAAAATATAGAGCATCCAAAATGTACCGGTGAACAATGGCACAGGGTAGGGATGTGATTAATTCCTCCATAAATAATGTGCGGACAGACTAGAGAGCATGTACCTCAAACATTGACCAAGAGGGTCTATAAACTGCCTTCAGGTAGATTTCTTGTGGTAAAATTACAATTCTTCAGCCAGAATAAAAGTCAAAATCCCAGACCAAAACCCTAAAGACTTAAATGTGTCTGTTTCTGTTTTGTCTCGGTTATCTAAGATGCACATTTTCTTATTCCTATAAGTTAAATGGTTTTCTATATATTTTAAATAGAAGGGGTTGGGACCCCATGGATGAATTAGGAAACTCCCTTAATTACTTAATATTACTATACCCTCTAAAGAGGTAGACTTGCAAATATACTAAGATATAGCGAATAAAATCCCCTTTCCAACTAGATAGAATTCATAGCATAATACACTAGGATTCGAGAGAAATAAATTATTGCACTTGTACCAGAAGCACACATTGTGGTTCCCAATATTTAAATATTCTAAGCGATGTGGCAGAAGCCGTTAAGCCGCATGTTTTGATACCCTAACCCGGAGGTCTAATTCCAAAACAGTGTTGGGCGCTAAAAACCGTTTCATAACAGCATGGATTACTATGCCACATAAAAATGATCTTTTAATTGCACATTAACATCTAAATATTTACTTTTTCAAGCGTGCTATGACCCATCCAGTGCTCAGTACTATAAGGAAGGTGCTGAATGGACTCATGTAAAAGATCCTTGCAAAATGTGTACTTGTCAGGTAAGATTCTGAAAACTATTTGTATGCCTTCTGTTTGTGTCTCAGAAGTAAATATTTATTAATGTTCTTTTTGCTAGCTTATAAAATTTTTCTTAATACAGTACAGCAACCAGCTGATAATCCCTCAAAGAATCAAACAAATTTTTTCAAAATTACTTTTTAAAAGTAGAATATGAAATTGGTAATATACTTGATCAATTTAAGGTGTTTTATTGTCATCCCTATTATTATGTTATAATTCAATGGACATTACATTTTGTAAATTTAAAAAAAAAAATGAAAAATTTAACACTTATTTTTTTTGGGCAGAATCATAGATTGACATGCAACACAAAGCAGTGCAAACCTGTGGTTTGTTCAAGTTCTGAACTGGCTTTATTACTGGAGGGCCAGTGCTGTGAGACATGTCAGCCATTTCCAAGCTCTTCTTGCTTCTATGAAAGAAAGATTTACCAGGTATTTGAGTTGAAAAACGGAAGGAGAGTCAATGTGAATTATTAAACATTTTATTTGAATCTTATTATTTGTAAAAATTATTATACAGCCATCAGTTACATAAAAATTATGTTATAAGAGTAGTCAGTGTAGGAGATTTTGTACTGGTATAAGGGTGTTAAACATGAGGTGAGTTTGCAAATTTTATGCATTCAATTATTATGGCAGTTATAGAATTTTCTCATTTGCTCTTTCTGCCGCAAAACTGTAACACATTTTCAGTGTTAGCCGAGGAGCATATAACGTTAGATCTTCATTAAAATATAAGCCATTTTAACAATTAATATTTTTAAATTCCTTCCCAGACCGGTTCAAACTGGACAGAAGATGAATGTACATCATGCAGATGTAATACTGGTCAGGTCACCTGTCATGTACGCAGCTGTTTGAGTGTTCAGTGTGCTAGAGATGAATCTTTGGTTACTGTTCCTGGACAGTGCTGTCCTGTGTGCAAGAAACGTGAGTGATGCATGAATAGAATTTCTCCAATTTAAGCTTATCATCTGCTAATAAAAAAATAAACTAAATTTCCAAAAGAAAGCAATGAGTAAAATTTGTGTTCTGTTATTTTATTCGTTTTCTATAACTTCAGGTCCAGGCACTTGTATAATGTATGGTAATCTTCACTACAAAACATTTGATAACTCAAGTCTGCATATCCAGGGTACATGTAGGAGCATAATGTCATCTGATTGCAAAAATGATCTTTTTAGGTTTGTTCTCATTTATTGTTCATCTATAGCAGCGGTTCTCAACCTGTGGTTCGCGACCCCTTTGGGGGTCACGGGACCCTTTTCCAGGGGTCGCCTAAGACCATCTGAAAACATATATCCTTACAGCTATGAAGTAGCAACGAAAATAATTGTGTGGCTTGGGGGTCGCCACGACACGAGAAACAGTATTAAGGGGTCACGGCACTAGAAAGGTTGAGAACCACTGATCTATAGCATATTTATTACTGAACATTGAGAAGGTCTTATAAATCTACTCCACATGTATTTTTATTTGTCTCAACAGTGAAACAATAACTATAAAATACAATTTCATGTTAAGGAAATTTTAGAACCAAACTTTGGACTCTAAGTCTAAGATCACTTAATTAAATGAGGGTTATTTAAACTTTTCCTAGGTATTTAAAAAAAATAAATAAAAGGAAATATAAAAAAATAAAATATAATATAAAATATAATATATAATATAAAAATAAAAACTAAATATTTAAAACTCTATATTTAAAACTATATAAAAAAAACAAACACATTAAACAAATTTATCTTGATTGATTTTTTTTCGATTTCAAAATACAGTCAATAAATAACTGTAGTTAATTTTTTTTACCATAATGCAAAAGCCTGATGTGGTTAAAATGCAAACTTACGTACATGATTGATAAACATACAAGTATAAATTATATTCATAATGGCTATTCCCATTTAAACACAGGGTAGAAGTTCATCAGGCCAGTCTTGGAGTTTCTCGAAGAACCTCCTCAGTTGAGAACATCAAAGTGTACATTGCAGGGTCTGTCATTGATCTTTTGCAAGGTAGAGAAGTCAAGGTCAGTCCTGCATCTGCTCTTTTGAAAGCCAGTTTTAAATAAGTCAAAGATTAAAATTGATTTTGGAGTTGTTTTTTTTCTGTACATTTACTTGGTATATAATATAATCTAGCTTTCAGTAGGATAGTGGAAGGAAGAACAAGGGTATGTTTTTTTAAAATTCTGCAATAATTTGTAGAGATATCCAAAATTTACATGGCTTTCATTTTTGTGTAGGCCTACCAGTCGTGGATTGTGCAGTTTTACAATAAAAACTCCTTATATTTCCTTAGTGGTACAGGTCTGAAATAATTGTAGCGTAGGTTAGATTATAGAGGGTGGGTTCCATGAGTAAAAATGTCAGTTTTCTCTCTTCAAGATGGTTGATCTTTGTTTTTTTTAAATGAAATTTATTATTTCTCTTCTTGAAGTAGTTAAAATTGACCTCCTTCCTTAGCCCACCTGTGAGTCTCCCTATCTGCCAATTTGAATTATATTTTATTGCTGTTTTATTCCAGATCAACAATCGCATTGAAAAGCTTCCATTCTTGTATGAGCCACACTTTTTGATTGAAAAATCCTCAGCTTTTGTTCTGCTTTCCACCGAGATTGGTCTCAGAATATTATGGGATGGAATTAACTATGCAGAGTTGACAGCACCAGGTAGACTCTTGATTGACTTTTAAAAAATAATTCTGTGCATTTTCAAAACAGCAAATGTTTAAAATTAACTACAAAAATAATCATAAGCCCAATGTTCCTTTTACTTAAAGATTTAATTTGTTGATTTTTTGCGTCAAGAAATCTTTTTGCCATTAGTATTAGAGTTTCCTAGTCATGTCTTAAATAATCTGTCTTAGATCTCTAAGTAAAATTTTTACATTTTTATTACCAGTGGTACCAGTATACTGGTAAGTCACAATGATATTTCTTTTTTTTATTGATCAGGCTCCTTTCATGGAAACTTGTGTGGTCTTTGTGGAAATTTTAATGGAATACCTAAAGATGATCTCATGCCACAGACTAGAACAGTAAGAGTGATTAGAAATAATAATAATAATAATAATAAAGTTTATTTGAAAAACAGGCTTCATCCCCAAAAGCTTGAAGCGTGGTACAAAGTCAACCATATTAAAAAGAGAAATTTAAAAAATCTAAAATTTACCACATTTAAAAAGAGACGCAACAATATAAAACTACATACGAGCATACCAAGTCAAAGTCTTTCATCCCATTTCAACCATAAGCAACGCAAGCCAATATACATTAACTGAAAAAGATGGTAGATAGCATCACCCCAGAAGGTGTTTGCGAAATAGATGTGTTTTTAAATCGGTTTTAAAGGACTCCAGTGTATGGATGTTTCCGAGAGCGACTGGCAGGGCATTCCAAATTTTTGGACCGGCAAATGCAAAAGTGCGCTTTCAGTAAGTCTCAAGGTGAACACACGGTATCGATATTTTGCCACTATCGGATGAGCGGAGTTCTCTAGTGGGTACATAAGGCGCCATGAGTGCTTTGAGATAAGATGGCGCCAGGTCATGTAAGCAGTGGTAGCACAAAGTTGCAATTTTGTACTCTATGCGAGCGCGGACCGGCAGCAAATGCGGCTCCCTCAGAAGTGTTTTAGCATGGTCGCATTTGCGTTTGCGAAGAACAATGCGAGTCGCATTATTCTGTGCTCTTTGAATTGTATCCAGGAGCGTAGCTGGGAGACCCACCATGAGAGCATTGCAGTAGTCCATGCGTGATAACAAAAATGCAGACATGAGCTTCTTTGATGCATCTAACGTTAAGTAAGGTCGGATATGACTAATCCTGCGCAGCTCTAGGAAAATTGCCCTGCAAAGCATGTTAATATGATTTTCCATAGCAAGTGTTCTGTCTAAATAGACACCTTAAATTGAACTAAAGCAGTAAGGGTGCCTTGAGATAAAACCTTAAATAGCTGGAAATTTTCAAACTGATATCATGTACCAAAAGGCTTTCCAAACTATGTGCCACCTGCAGGGTGTAGGTATATCGCAGAAAAACAAGCCATATCAAGATTCACGCATTTTGTCTACTTAAAAGAGCGCTTGCAAATGAATTGAGAAAAGTTATGGATAAAGTGGTGGAAATAGTAAATTATATGAAAGTTAAATTTTCAATCAAGATTTTTTTATTTTTTTAATTGTGAAAAAATAGTCTCAAAATCTAAATAGCTGATGATACACAGAAATTCATTGGCATTATGAGATCAAGTGTTTGTCATGTTAATGAATTTAGTGAAAATGATGCTTACATTTTATAAGGAAACCTGATCAAAATGAATTTTATCTAATTTGCACAAAATTGGCAAATTTTTATTGAAACCTTGATCCTGCTGACATATTGTAATATTCAAATAAAAAGGAAAAGTAGAAAATAACAGCAGTATATCTGATTTGGGATTGGGAGAGAAAATGATTTGGAAATTGAAAATGGATGAAGAAAAAGTATTCCAAAACAGCTGAGTGTGAGCTAAAATTTGATAATAGAATTTGAGAATATTTGAGAATAAATTTATATTGTTATGGATGTGAAACGTGGACTGTCTACCAGTGTCACGCCAAGAAACTGAATCATTTTCACACTAACTGCCTCAGGAAACTCCTCGACATCAGGTGGCAAGACAAAGTCCCCGACACCGAGGTCCTCGCTAGAGCGAACCTACCTAGTATCTTCACTACTCTGATGCAGTCTCAGCTCTGTTGGATGGGACACATAGCCCGTATGGCAGACCACCGGCTCCCGAAACAAATATTCTTTGGAGAATTCACGATAGGCAAGCGCTCCCAAGGAGGCCAAAGAAAGCGTTACAAAGACTCACTGAAAGTGGCACTAAAGGCCTTCAGCATAAACCCTACTCAATGGGTGCAGACAGCCCAGGACAGAGCCAGATGGAGAGCTGCTGTCAAGAAGGGGGCTAAATCCCATGAAGCTAATAGAATAATCACGGCTGAGACACACAGGCTTGTCCGAAAGAGCAACATTAGCTCATCGTATGAAGCAACTATTCCATGCCCACAGTGTCATAGATTATTCCGAGCAAGGATCAGTCTAACAAGCCACCTAAGAGCTCACCGTAATCCCAACCCCCCCGCCCTCCCCTAACCGGATGATTCGATGGTCCTTGTCGACTTCGACGGACGAACAACAAAAAATATTGTTCCAAAAAATGTTTATTGATACTTCCCTAATGAAAAATTCAAGATTTTAATTGGATAGCATATCCATTTCTTTTAACTATATGATGAACTTTTCACTTAGAAGAAGAAGAATAAGCTGAAATAACAAATGATAGGAATATGTAAAAATGATGTATGAAGAGAGTGATTTAGCTTTTAGATTTGAAGTTTAAAAATTGCACCCAAAATATAAATGAAAGGTTTTCATGAGATATTCTGTGTCATCATCATACACTTTCTTAAAATGTATGTTTGTGCCCGTGCATCAAAGATAGATCAGCTTAAGCCCCAGTCCCCAGTATATTGGTTAGACCCGCTTACTGTGTCGCAGAATGGTCAATACTTAAAAAGTATGTTGATAACATGTAAATGTATGTTTTGGAAAACACTGATGTACCTATAAATTACATAAAAGTAATAATGGTTTTATTATTAGTTCATATGAAAATTTAGACATTTTTTAAAATCTTATGGTATGTATTTTAAATATAATCCCCTTATCTCTGTATGTTTAAAGCCGTGAGCTACTCAAAGGATTATTTTAAGTTTATGCCTTCATGATCATGCCAAGACAAAACAACTTGTTTGAAATTAATTAAAATCTGCTCTTGAATATCTATTTTTAATGTTTTGTGCAAAGTTCCTTTATTTTTTTTTAGGTGTCAGACCACACCATGCCGCTGTGCACAGAAGTACAAGACATGGATCCATGTCTACTTAAAGGATTCATGAGTAGAAAGAATGCTACAATGAAATGCATCAAACTTAAGGTGAGCTGAACTTAAATTATTCTGGTTTAAGCCTAATATATAACTGTATCGTGGCTCTTCAGCATCAATGATAATATATGAGGGACTGCATTCAAGCTGTGAGGAGGAAATGGAGCAAGATTTATAGACGCCTGACCAAAAAAAATGGGACAATCAAAAGAACATTTCAGTGAGATGCCTTCGTCAGCAAGAAATTACAAAAGAGTGTGAAATTCAAAGACTTAATTTGTCGTAAGCTGTCATATGTTAGCAATGAAAATAAGGAGAGTTTCTGTTTAAAACCTAAACCAAAGAGATTACAGAAACGTTCTTTTCTTTTATTGATTTTTTAAATTTTTATTCAGCAATAATCAATAATTGAAAGACTCAAGTTTTTAAATATATCTCTAACCTCATTGAAAATTATTTTTCTTTCAGAGTAATGGATTTAGAAGATGTCACCGAGAGGTGCCACCCGAGTCATTCTTCACCTCATGTATCCATGACCTTTGCACCTGTCAAGAAGACTCAAAATGTCTGTGTAGCATTTTGGAAGCCTATGCTCGAGAGTGTGCAAAGTCAGGCGTCAAGGTTGCATGGAGATCTAGCAACTTTTGTGGTGAGTTCCCAAACACATTTTCCTTCTTTAGTTTCATACTATTTACCTACAGGAAACTCCAAAATGAGCAACTCCTATGTGTATAGATGGAAAAATATCCATAATTAAAGCTGTATACAAATAATAATACCCAAGGTGCAGGCCTATCTTTTGTAACCAAGCTCTACCCAAGTCAGTGAAATGCACTTACGATTATAAACAAAGTAGCATTCTTTAGAACAATAAATAATGCAAATGAAACAGATCAGTTTTGTTTCTAGTTCTAGATTTAATTATGGCAAAATTGTGTGTTATTTAACTCTTCATTCTTATATATGTATAAGATCTCATATTCTTTCAAACTCTTAGATTTTGAGTGTGATTCAAGTAAAGGTCTTGAATTTGATGAGTGTGGTTCCCCGTGCCCCCGGACCTGTGCAAATATACAAACATCAGGACATAATCTGAAATGCTTGAAGCCATGTGTCCCAAGCTGCCAGTGTCCTAGTGGAAAGGTTCTACATAATGGCAAATGTATATTTCCAAGCAGCTGTCCTCACATTGAAATGATTCCAGTTTTATAGCTATCCGTATTTATTTAGTATGAACTAAAGTCCATTAGAAACTACACAGGCTATGTCAATTTCATCTTTAAAATGTTTTTATTAGAAGAAAAATTATTAGCTACTACATCTACTACTTTTTTTTTTCGTAATATATATGTACAGGACCTCATAGATTATGCATGAGATTTTAAGTTAAAAAAAAAAAGCAAGTAAAAATGTTAATTTTTATGGATTTTAAAAATTTTCAATGCTTTTTGTCTGAATATATTTAGCTTCCCCTTAACTTAAAATATTTTAAACTTTTAAAATTCGATTGTAACTGCAGTTGTACAAACAAGTAATTAAACTAAGCTATTGATAAAAAAAAAATAATTATATTCTAAAATACCGGTACTTAAATAAAGTATTGTCCAACCCCTTTGTCAACTCAAAGAGCTTTAATATTATATTATGTACTTCACAATGTATTGATGTGTATTTATGTATTTGAAGATTTCTCATTCAGAGGTTATGAAGTTTAAAGTGTCTTTATGTTGTCAGTTTCTGTAAATTACATTTTAACACAATTTATGCCTAAATGACTGAAACATTTTTTTATATGACCGGTAGTTGTTTTTATACTCTGTCATTTTGTAAGGTTTCTATTCTTTGGAATAAATTTACATAATGACCCATGATACCAAAAAAAAAATATGCCAATAATTCTAGAAGAAACTCAGCTAGAAATGATACATATTTAAAAAGTTTTTATAAGCAGATAATTTAATGATACAAAAAATATATAAACTATTTTGTGATCTCCAAACTTAATTTTAGACTTACTATTACTCTAAGCAAAATTATTAATTAACCTTAAGACTCACTAATATTAACAACTAAATTGCTGTAATTCCCCTTTCTAGTATTAAAATAAAAATCTGTTGAGCACCAACCACATTATTATTATATTATTAAACCGGCTTTAAGTTAGATGGAACATATTATAAGCTTCATCTTATGAAATGCACCCCTCATAATGTTTTAAAAAAAATTTGCATTCCTATATACCAAAATCTGTAACCATTTTGAGCACATCAGTTCAAATCAATCAACTGGTTTAGGATGTTTTACACCATAAATTAAAAGTTTAAGTAAAACCCTTGAAAAATCAATGATTTTAAAAAAAAAAAATATGAAAAGAACATCTTTTACATTTAAAGATAGCAAATGTATCATTGTAGATAATATTTCAATTGTGCTACATATTGAACTGAAGGTTTAATACCATATGTCATCAACAATAAATCATTTCTATTTCTAAAGCTGTTTATGCTGTTTCGAATGATTTTCTTTGATTTTAAAGTTGTATTTTGATGTATGCAATCTAACTGATTAGGTATTTTATACCAATTTCCCATACTTGTTTGTGTACCGAACTGGCGCTGCATCAGGTACACCATTAAAGTTTCATAGCTTTTATTTTTGTACACTCTATAAATATTGTTCACTATATAATATGAATTTTCATATTTATTATTAAATAATAAATAAACAAAATATTGTTTTCTTTGTCAATTTTATTATTAATTATATAGTAAATTATATTTTTGATAATAATAGAGTTAAAATGAAAGATTAAGTAAAACATTAAGTTCATAACTATTGCAAACAAACCCAGCCAAATAAATTAATTAAATTACATTGAACCACTTCTCATCTTACCCAGGAAACATAGCTGCAGGCTATATTAAATGTACAGAAGTTAGTAGGTAAATTTGGTGTATGTGTGCAGGGGTGTGTTTGTGTGCGTATGATAGAGGCATCAATATTTAAAGTGAAATACTATTTAATTTTTAAAAAAAGATTTACAGTTAAAGGAAGAGAACTGATAATAACATGATTATTGTCCCTTGAAATTCCAATAATTTTTTATTTTTTTTTCACTCTAGGGCTAAATGACGTCACGCATCTAGAGGTGTGTCACATTGTTTGTGATGGGGTGGGGAGTGTTCATTTAAGCGATGAGACGTTACATAAAATCGGAATATAACTAAAATAACTTTCAATGCAATAATTTATTTGTTGGATAAGACAATTATTAGTATTAACATTATATTCTTTACCTTAGTGACGTAGTGAGACATTGTGCCATAAAGTGTTGTGTTTTTTTTTCTTTTGGGGGGGGGGAAGGGGGGGGGGCAAGAGGGAAATGTACCGGTACATTGATTTATATTGCCAGTTGGAAAAATATTATGCCGAATAAGAAGGAGATGGGTGTTTGATGTAATCTGAGAACGAGGGTAAGGAAACAATGCAAAATAGTGGTCCTAGTAGACATATAATACAGTAATTCGATATCCATCATAAAGCAAACACGTTAGGAAGGTTTAAGTGTTGGCAAACAAAAATTTTATTATCAAGTGTAGTGGTCAAAATAAATATTAATAGATTAAAACAATGAAAGTAAATATGATTTATAAAGTTAATCTTCTTTTTTTGAAAATGGTGGTGGTGGTGTGTGTGGTGGTGGTGTGCACTTCAGATTTTTCAGGGGGGGGGGGGCGGGGTTGGTTGTTTTATTGTTGGACATATTTTTTGTTGGGGGGGGGGGACTGGGGTTTTCCAGGGGGGGGGGATATTTGAGGGGGGCGGGGTCTATTTTTTGTAAGGAGCCAATATCTTATTTAAGCATACTAAGAAAAGGATTTTATTGATACAAAAATCTTCTTTTGTCACCCAAAACAAAAGCTATGAAACAAATTATATGATATTAAACAGTACACAAACATGCATCTTTTGTTATTCGCGGCGTTATTGTGAAGAAGAACTCAGATAAAAAATCCTTTTAAAAACCAACGAAAATATAAATATAAAACAAATTCAAATATAAAAGAAGTTGATACTTGTTCTATCAAATATTGAAGTGTTTAAATGTAGTTGCAATTGATAAATAATGACTTTTCAATAATAAAAAAAGCTTAATAACGAGCTAGTACGCTAAAATAAGAGATAACCAAAGCCAAATACATTACCATTTACGTCTATTTATTATCCAATAAAAAATTATTTTAATTAATTCTACTTAATTTTCTCAGTTTTCGGCAATTGCGCGAACCAGCATGTATGCCTTTAAGCAAATTAATTCAGAAGCTGAATTTAAACGATCATTTGAATTTTTAGCACGGCATTGGTGGATACATAATTTTCCAGTAACTAAAATTTTAAAAAATAAGTGTTTGGAAAAAATTCCTGACGATGTAAGTTAAATGTTAATTAAAATTCTATGGGTATTTCAAAATTTATTTATGAGCTGTGCTCATACTGCTCTCCAGCAGTTAAAAAAATAAAAACTTAAACCACAATTATGAAGTAAGCAGTTCTACGACTACCATATTCCATATCTTAAAGAAATGAGTAAAATAAAGCAATGGATAATCTTAAAAAAGGAACGCAACAAAACAAAGGACGTGTCGGCAGTAAGCCTTCGTCAGAGAACAAACAACAGAAAATACAGAATTAAATAGCGCTTTGTGGAGAAAAGTAGTATAGGGCAGCAAAAGAATTGTGAATATTACAAATCCTTGCCATTCATTCAATTCATTGACTTGAGCATTATTGTATAGGCCTACTATTTATTAGCACTTTCAAATACTTCTGTCTGTTCATTCTGTAAGTGTCAAGTACCATTATTCATGAAACAATAAATTTGTATGGTTTCTCAGTAAATAATTATACAACACATCTTAAATGCTTACACAAAAACCTAAGAATTAATGTCAGTGAAAGTATATAATTCAAAATAAGTCTGCAGCTCTTATTAGTCTTATTGACAAAAATTATTTTAAAAAAAGAAGCATCATAAAGCATTCTCAATTATTTTATAAAAATTAAATAAATTTAAAAAGAGAAACGACCTATTTGATGGTATATAAAAAGCCAAAATACATTAATTTTTTTTGCATTCGTTATGTATCTAAAAATTCAAAATCATAAATTGTAGTCATTAAAAAACACTTTATTTCAATGTTTTTAATGTAATTTAAGTATGTGCCCTCTTGAATTACGTCACCTGCTTCCAATATCATTTTGTCCACCGAGCGTGTTATAAATGGACTGGGTTATTTTTTCTATAAGATCTATAGTAGTTTAAGATGCAGACCTCTATTGCTGATATCAAGAGGGACTGTTTTTCACTGGTGCTGAACTGAATGTAACATTGATAAAGCGTTCGACTTCTCCCGTTGTTTTTACTGCCCAAAATGCTTCATTCTGTGCTGTTTGTGAGCTGCCTCAAGTTTGCTTTTTTTTCCAATGCATCTGCCAACCACACCATAATACTTCATAAATTCACCTTTCGAGTGTATATTTCATTGTTATATCTAATAATACTTATTATCTCAACAAAACACCCACTAAATATTTATTCACTTAATTTTGAAAACTTCCATATAATTAAAAGAAAGCTAATGCATCATCAATAGTTCAGGTGATTAATAACTTAGCTGGTTTCTGGTATAAATAGGTCTTAAATTTCAATTTTTTAAGGTGGGCGCTTTAAGGTTCCAGTTGCACCATGGTTAATCTGGCACTGATAAGAAGTGACAGCAGGTTGATGGAGGAGTAAATAGTAAGAAGCAAAAGTACTTTGAGACACCACAAGTTAAATACTGTTAGTATAAAGAAAAGAGGGCCTACAATTAACAGTAACAGTCTCCAATTAATGTCCCCCTCCCCGGGCAATATGGCAATATTCTACTTAAACCTTAATTAAACTAGCACATACTCACATACACTAATTTTATTACTAGGTTTATACTAATTCTAAATAACTCTCTCATAACCAGTGGCTACTGTATCTACAAAATATTAGTATAGCAGAACTGAATACCCTTCCACTGTGTAATACTCGAGAGTTTTTAAAGGTAAAAAAATTGTTTTTAGTTTTTGTGCTTTAAAATTTCGTATCTGGTTGTTGTTCTCACAATTGTTGTTCCCAAGGCTTAGTGCATTATTAGCTCCCTCAAAATTTATTCAATTTTTAATTCCTAGAGCCTCTTCCAAAATTAAATGCGTTTTTTTCAACACTAGATAGTATAAGAAAAATCAAATGCAGTAATTTATTGAAGTATGCCTGACAAATTAAAAGATTTTTCCCCTTAAAATCAGCCATCATATCTATTAAACCTCACTCCTTTAGTGACAGTGTTGAATGATTTTAATTACAGTTTTGTACTTAATAATAAGCTTAAAATTAAAAGACTTTTTCTTGTAACAGAATCCATCCTGGCCTCCAAGTCTGCAGGAGTTTTTCTCAGAAGCATCACTGTCTTTAAATCATGCTCAGTACCAGGAGGGTAAGGCTATTGATATTGATTGCAGTATGGCCAGGGGGATGAGCGTGAAAAAACTTCATGAAGTCTCAAGAATGGCCCCTCTAGTTGATGACATAGTTCGTCAAGGGAACTGTAACCTAATACTTGATATAGGATCAGGACTGGTTGGTCTTTTTCATCAAATATACAAAATGTGACTTAGTTTCTTCTCAAACTGTTATTGAGTCCTACTGGCAGTAGTAAATGCTTTTTACATATATTTGCATTTGACATGTTTCTTTTATGATATTCACGTCACATGGCTATTTTAACATTACTTTATGTTTATGATGTTGAGACACTAAAACTAAATGTAAGTAAGGCTTGGCTTAAAGAATAGCTTTTCATCCCCAGGGCTATCTAGCTCATGTCTTACACAAGGTGTATGGTCACAGAGTTGTTGGTCTTGAAACTTCAGAAAGTCATCTGACATCTGCTGAACATAGGGCAGTTAACCAAGGTAAAGCACAGTTGTACCCCTGCTTGGGCATCTTATTTTATTTAGATTGTCATTCATTGAAATAAATTTAAGTTTGGATGAATGCCACTACCTACACTTCCTTTTTTCTCAACAAGCAAATTAAGTTCAGAAAAGCATACCCTAGTTCTTATTAAGTTTCATTTCAGTTTTTCACCTTGATCACAATTTCTTTTGTTGTTATAGAAAACACAAACTGCTCATTTAAATTTGCTTCCAAACATGCAATTCTTTCCAGGAATAACATGTAGTGGCTTTAAAAGCGTGAAATTCAACTTGACACAAGACGCAGATTGCATGGAGAGATTAGAGAAACCCATTAAATTTTCTTCCAAACATGCAATTCTTTCCAGGAATAACATGTAGTGGCTTTAAAAGCGTGAAATTCAACTTGACACAAGACGCAGATTGCATGGAGAGATTAGAGAAACTCATTGAAGAATTAGCCACATCGTTACAAGTTTCTTGTTCCCATGTTACCCAAGGTACTGGCAATTGTTATGAAATATTACACACACTATTGTTCAGCTGCTTGTAACATTTAAGAGATTGACAACCTTGTCTGTAAATGTAGCTAAATAATTCCAGTTTAAATTTATTATCTTTTGACTCATTTTTTAATGAAACATTCATGAACTATATTTAGACAAATAAGTATATATTTCATTAATTTTTTTTTTTTTTTAAAACATGCTTCCATTCATAAATCAGTAAACAAAAAATTTTATATTTTCATTCCAGGTTTAATGATTTGAAATTAAATAAATTCAGAAGCAAAATTTAAAATACATGGAACTTTATATTAACCTGAAATAGCACGTTATAAAAGATAAACCTCACTTAATGTCAGTCATATTTTCTGTTTAAATATTTAATTTTTTTAAAGGCAACTATATTCAATATTCTCATAATCTTTTTTGACCCATTTTTTTAAAACGAAGCAGAAAGCAAAGGACAGCTGCCAGGAGCTGAGTTGACAGATAGTAAACTTGAGCCAAGGGTCTGCCTGATTGGCCTGCACTGTTGTGGGGACTTGTCCAGTGCTGTGCTTTCCATGTTTAATGCTGTCAGCTGTGTTAGGGCTCTCTGCTGTGTCTGTTGTTGCTACCACAAAATGGCCTACTCAGAGGGTAATTCTGTTTCCATCTAATTGGGTGAATCTATTCTTAGCTCAAGAAAATGTTTGTTTCATAGGTAGACTGATCAATAAGTAAAATAATGCAATCCATGCATTACTTTCATTGAAACAAAATATTAACACCTGCTAAGAGAATTTATTTTCCTTTTTTAAAATTGTTACTTTATCATTCGTTATCATAATACTTTTAAAAGCTGATTTAAAAAAAAAGAAAATGGTAATAATAGAAAAATGGAAATGAGCTAAGCAAACTTTGGGTAAACCTGAAAAAAAAGAGCATAATGAAGCAACAAGCCTATCGGCAACAAACCTTCTTTAGCAAACAAATAAACAACAGTGAAATCAGAATTAAATAAATAAAATATAAAAATTATATATATCTTTTTAGCTCATCTTTACATATCATTTCCTGAAATATAGAAATCCCATACAAATAAATAGTTGAGGTCATTAATCTATTGATTCAGGATGCTTTCTAAATTTCCCCATGAGTCAAATGGCCAAAATTCAATACATTGAAGTTAAACATATTCATCCAAACTGGCATGTGTCCCCATATACACTAAGAATTGGGGCCCAGCAGACAAGGTCAGTAACATATATTTGTACACATTAGGAAAATCTTATCTTGTCTACTTGTGCAATTGTCAACACAATTATAATAAACTGTGTCCGGAATTTAGTGTTCTATTTAAGAACAAATACAAAGTTATAGAGTCATAGAGTGTTCCTGTGTTCATGGCAACCTATAAAACTTCATAGAATCTTTGTTCCTGTTTCATGGCTACCACTTATAAAGTTAATTCTATCTTCTTCTAGAGGAAGCTGGGAGAATCAAAACAGAGCAGATCATGAAACTCATACCAGACATGTTGCATTCAGGGCTCTACTAGAAATGTTAGGTAAGACATCTTTATACCAAACATTAGAAATGTTGGGTAAGACATCTTTATACCAGACAAGTTGCATTCAGGGCTCTACTAGAAATGTTAGATAAGACATCTTTATAGCAGACATGTTGCATTCATAGCTCTACTAGAAATGTTGGGTAAGACATCTTTAAGAAGTCAAAAAAGTTTTTAAACGCAGAGCATAAGAGAAATAAAAATGCAAACAAGTTTTTAAATATTATTTTGTCTTTGGCAGAATATGAAGATTCAAAGGATTTAAGACAACGTGTCAGGAAAAGTGACTTTTCTTCATTCACAGCATTTCTAGATACCTGCTTCCCTTTACAAGAATCAGGTGGCTAGTTAAACATTATAGCTAAATAATATCAAAATATCTAATAAGTTCTTTTATTTTTCTATTGTAGTTAGTGCAACTAATAAACTGCCTAAGTAACTTCACACACTTGTAAATGAAGATAAAACTACCAAGGTTGATTGTCAATAGCTGCTTTCAAGAACAGCAATGAAGAGCATTCTTAGTTAAAAATACTAATTGCCTTTTTTCAAAAAAAATTTTAAGAGTGCTTCCTTCATAATCTGCAGTAATCATTTCAATATTTTTGCTTTTCAGTGAAAAATGCAACTTACAGAGCAAAACTTATAGACCTTCATAAAGAGCATGAGAAATTATTTGATCTTATTGAAGTATTTACAGTAAGCACAAATTAATAACAATTTTAAATACACACTTACACAGGCTGTACAAATACTTGTAACAATTCTGATTAAAATCTAATAATAATATACTGGGTATTTGTGATTATTGAGGGGTATTGACTAAATTAGGTTGAGTGTTGAATAAATTCATGAAGCCAAAGCTCATTGATTTTCTTGCCAAACTATAAATCATATAATGTTTCTGCAATGTAACACAAGTGGAGCATGTGTCCTGAATAAAAAACAGTCTAATGCACTACTGTGACCTCTAAGTGATCATGGTTACATCTTTCATGTTATCGCCCATATCGATAATTTGACAAAATATCTGCCAAGAAATATTCCCAATGAACAGTAATAATAACCAAATTCTCAATAAGGAACAGAAGTTGCTGTAAAATTGAAGTACATATGCGGATATGTTAATGTAAATGGCCATCTGCATAAAGCATCACCTTTCATACCAATCCTATTATGATATGTACATACTGTCATAGACCAGTTAGATATTTAAACATAAATTGGAGAATTTTAATGGAGTTTAAAGTTAGTTGAAGCTGCTGTGGATTTTTGCTGCAATATAAAATCATAATTGATCAATAAAATTTGTGTTGGTAATGATTTTAAAAAAATTATTTAAAAAATTAAATAAAAATAATAATAATTAAATAAATACAGCACCCTTCCGTCTTCTTTAAATGGGTTATGGGGCAGATCTTGCAATTTTGATCTTCGCTGCACTTCTCCCAGGAGAACCTTGGCTTCTGGTTTCTCTGAAACTTTTCTTTCACAAAGGCTTTGTTTTGGAACTCTTCTGTTTGTCTGACTCTTTCATACACTGCTGTTTGCCAACTGGAACAGTGCTCAGCAATGATCTCCCATTTTTTAATTTCTATGTTGGCTTCCCCCATGTTCCTTTACCAAATGTCCTTAAATCAGAAGCCAATTAAAAATATAAATTATGAGTTTCATCATTAATTTTTTATACATTTTTGACAAGGAGCAGAAAAAAAATCTTAATGTTATAGATGTATGACACAAAAACGTTGTGAGTAAAACTTGTGCTTATTCTACTTGAGTTATTAGGGTAATGGATTTTTTTGCTGGCATCGGTCCGTCACAATGTGACGATGGTGTGGGCTTCCCAGGACGAAATGGGTAATGGATATCCCCTATGATTCTTATACACATTTTTTTTACAATCTATGTCACTTGAACTCCTGCATATACTGGATAATTAGTTCAAACTCACAGATGGCCTTCCTAAATATGTACAATTCTTTTACAACTTATGATATAACCTTCATGTATAAGTTTATTTCATACATCTCAGATCATCTTGACATGTAATAAAGAACATTTTTATTTAGGAATAAAAGATGTCAAGTTTTCCTATTTTTACAGTGCTTCCAGGTCATTCTACAGCCCCTGATAGAGACCATGGTTTACAGGGACAGGGTACAGTGGCTATTGGAGAAAGGTCACTCAGATGTTCAAGTGGTTTCTGTATTTGATGACAAAATTTCTCCAAGAAACCTGGCAATAGTGGCTAATAAAAGATGAAGAGGAAAAAACCTCACGAATTATTGTTCAGTTTGTTTTCAAGAAATTTTTTTAACTTTCTTTTTTTTTTTCATGAAGGCTACTCCGAGTATTGTGAAGTATTACCTTTAAAATCTTGTCAATGCTTGGCCACTACCAGATCAACTATCCACATAAAACACAAATGATGAAATCGAATAATTAAAACAAATCTACAAGATTGACATAAGAGTTCTTGCAATGATAAAATAAAAATTCAGCCTGAACCTCAAATACTGCGCTAAAGTAAGTTTGCATAAATTGTATTGAAAAATCTTAAAACAGACCAGCTGTGGCATTACAAAAATGCAGACAAAACTGCAGATAAAACTGCAGATAAAGCAGAACAAATAGTTTTGTTGATGAAAATACAATATGATATACATCAATATCATGTAACAGTGCAGCACGTTGAACTAGGAGCACTTCTTTAGCTCAAAATTTTTTCTCCGCTGCCTTCCTGGTTATTTCCGCTAGTGAATTTTCTCTCTCTCTTTCTTTATGCATCTTGGTATTTATATTCAATGCTTTATCCATTATAAATATTGGATATGATTTTCTTCTGTTGTCCTATTGGTCTCAGATGAGAATAAGCTCCACCCACAGAGTCCAGCATGCTGTAGAGCTTGTTTGGGCTGTTTGATGGTTGTTCATCACAGTTGCTGGAATAAGACAAGAAAGAAATAGAGAAACAATAACATTGTTTTTTTAAATTTAAAAGTTCATAAAATTAAAGTATTCAAATAATGAAGACTTCTAATCTTTACAGTAATATCGATATAGATGTTGACAAAACTGTGTTGCATGATAAGAAAACCATATACATTATAAAATAATAGGTTACCACCGGTATTGATAAGTATGTTTTTAACGTAAAAAAAAATACAGGCTGTTCTAATTTTGTAAGAGATGCTTAAATAGATAATGTTCATCAGCTTGCTGACTGCATTTGTTTTAGGGAAAAAAGTTGCTGAGCTTTAATGGAGTTTCTTGATTGAATTTGTATTAGGGAAACAAATTGTTCAGCTTTGATGAAGTTTGTTAACTGAATTTGTTGTAGGGAAACAAGTTGTCCAGCTTTGATGTAGTTTGCTGACTGAATTTGTTGTAGGGAAACAAGTTGTCCAGCTTTGATGGAGTTTCTTGATTGAATTTGTTTTAGGAAAACAAATTGTCCAGCTTTGATAGAGTGTTTTGACTGAATTTGTTGTAGGGAAACAAGTTGTCCAGCTTTGACTTTGATGAAAGTAGAGAACTTTTACAAGCAATGTTCCCTCTAAGGTTTGCTGGTTCGTGTGTAAAATCATACAGTTGTGTGCAAAGTCTTACAGCATCAGTTTTTTGTGTGTGTTACGCACTGGCTTCTCTTGTGAGAAATTAATCTCCTATTTTAATTTTATTGGCTCGTTGTAAACAGTGCCTAACAAAGGACGATACCATAGCGCCAATAGTAAAAATACGACATCCAAAACAGTTGCTAGTTACAATTAATAAGATTTATTTAAGTCTTAATATAATTACAAAAGAAAATAAAATATAAAGACAATCATCAACTTACAGTATGGTAGATCTTGTACCGGTACACAGTTAACACAGTTAGTACAATGTGCCAATGAATATTGATGAATGAAGAATGCGAATAAACACATATAAATACAGAAAGAATAATATACGTCTCGTGAAGTTAAAACTATCTATCTGAATCCCCGTCTCTCCGTATATGTCCCTCCCTTTTATACATGTAGCGTAAGACGCTTCCAGAAAATACTGATGACGTGTTGTTTACATTTCTCGGGTTATCGAGAAAATTTGACAAGATACCAGGAGACAGTCTAACCATGTTTTATAGGTAAACATGGTTGTAAACAAGATACATCAAAGAGATTTAACCACGTCCACAACAAACGTTACCGCCTGCTAGTAGTCTAATGCGGGGTCAAAGAAAGTTCACGCACGGGGAATGTGTGCTACATAACAGTGTGCAAAATTAAAAACCCCCAAATAAACACGGAAACTACATAAATGAACTGAAGTGCAAAAAAAACTTTACATAAATAAATAAAGGAACAATAATTAAAATCAGAAATGTTAATTTAACCATAATTCAATCAAAGCTATATTTATTTCTATAATTATTTATCCCCTCGCTGGTTTCACGCAAAAACGTTCCAACACACCCACCACCAATGGCCGATAGTCATTTCATTGACTCATTTCTGGACTTTCAGCGATCTCCATCTTTTATACACATCGCCAAGGTTGGTCTGATGTCCATCATTCTGATACGATTGAATCCTCATAAGCGCATTTAAATGTAACTCGTCCAGCCTATTTCTAGATTTAATTTTTTATATTTTCATTAAGCTGAATCCACGTTCACCATCGGCGCTTGATGCAAGAAGTGTAGCACAAGTATCCAACAGTATGGCAATGTCGCCGAATAGTTCTTCAATTATTAGAAAATCGAAAAATTTCGTCGAAAGTCTGCATCAACCCACATTTCATTTTTTTCTGCAAGCACAAACCTTAAGTTACGATACTGATCCTTAACTTTCGGCAGAATGTCATCATAGTTTCCCAGGAATGCCGCATATTTAGAAACTAATGCTGCAAGTTATTCTTGGCCAAAATTAAAATCTGAAGTGTCGATTAATGCTGATATCCCAAAGATTCGCCATTGCATCAACTAACTCTCAGGGAAAAGAAAGTCCAGGTGCAAAAATAAACATTCAACGAGGATGGAGCTCATGTTTATATCCTCGTCATTTGCAAGCAATTCAGCAACCTCTTCGGCACAGTGCACATTTTCACCAAGGTACCGGGCACGGAGCTTAGCAATCCTTGCTTTTACAACCTGGTAGGCCTCAATCATCGGAAGACTTTTTCTTTGTAGGAGCTTGCAAAAATTCAGCAAGTTTACCAACAACTTCACCAAAGACAATCAGTGCAGTTCGAAACGGCGGATCCTTTAGGTTCTTCAAACAGTACTTATGAACTGGATCACTACACAGGCCCACCTGGTCCTCACAGTATTCAGACAACACGTGTGTGTCTCTCAGTGATGCTCGGAAAGCAAAGGGCCACGAAAGCCATCTGATTTCATTCAATGGTCTAAACGCTACGGAATCAGATTCGACCACCTTAGTTAGTTCGGTAAACTGAACTTTCCTTACTGTCGACGTACTGAACAATGTGTACGCTGTCCCAAGGACTGTTTCAATGTCGGCCATTAAACTTGTATGTTTGGAAGCACCAGCGACGCCCTAAATCTTCACGATGAGCCACGCAATGTTGTTCCGTTAGATGTGGAATACGTCGGCGAAGAAATGCTGCAACTCCATCGTTCTTGCCTAGAGCATAACACACGGTGGTTCAGAGCGAGGCTAGCTGGACCGGTATGTATCTGCAAGTACCGTATTTTGGTCATTATAAGTATAAGGACGCACACGTATATAAGACGCACGCGGCCTAGCCACCTGCCACACTGAGAAAGTTAAAGGCAGTGGTTTCCTTTCCTTTATCATAAATGACAATTTTTCCAATGTTTCATAACCCGTCAGATAAAAGCAAGGCTTCATTACTATGTGTAGTTCAGCGGTAGGTCAAAGAAATTGTCTCAGGCAGGACCGCAAAGATTATTGTCTATTTTTATCTTGCGCACTAGCGGATGGGTTGAGTACCTGGTATCTAGATTCTAGAAACGATTAACGCCAGATTTAAAGGCGGCTTCATTAAAATATTGAAACGAAAGGATTTTAAATTTTAAGCGGTCGTTACTGAACAATTACCCAATTGTTTTTACAACTAGGAATGAAAATCGTGAAACTTGAAAAATCGATCGCAGTCATCGTATTTCAAAATCACACACTGTGCCGTTCGTTCCTATTTAAAAAATTACTTACGGTATTTTCGCGCATACAAGACACACCTAATTATACGGTGTACCCATATACCTAATTATACGGTGTACCCATATACCTAATTATACGATGTACCCGTATACCTAATTATACGATGTACCCATATAACTAATTATACGATTTACCCATATACCTAATTATACAATGTACCCATATACCTAATTATACGGTGTACCCATATACCTAATTATACGGTGTACCCATATACCTAATTATACGATGTACCCATATACCTAATTATACGGTGTACCCATATACCTAATTATACGATGTACCCATATACCTAATTATACGATGTACCCATATACCTAATTATACGATGTACCCATATACCTAATTATACGGTGTACCCATATACCTAATTATACGATGTACCCATATACCTAATTATACGGTGTACCCATATACCTAATTATACGGTGTACCCATATACCTAATTATACGGTGTACCCATATACCTAATTATACGGTGTACCCATATACCTAATTATACGATGTACCCATATACCTAATTATACGGTGTACCCATATACCTAATTATATGATGTACCCATATACCTAATTATACGATGTACCCATATACCTAATTATACGATGTATCCAAAACCTAATTATACGGTGTACCCATATACCTAATTATACAGTGTACCCATATACCTAATTATACGGTGTACCCATATACCTAATTATACGGTGTACCCATATACCTAATTATACGGTGTACCCATATACCTAATTATACGGTGTACCCATATACCTAATTATACGGTGTACCCATATACCTAATTATACGATGTACCCATATACCTAATTATACGATGTACCCATATATAAGAAGCGGGTTTTGACGATTTATTAAAAATATTTTATATGAGACGCACCCATATATAAGACGCATCCTGGGTGCTGGGTATGTAAAGCTTTGTTTATGACGCGTCTTATATACGCAAAAATACGGTATGTAAATCAATCATCCGACATAAAAATTAGAAGACACAAATTTTGATCTGAATCAAATTAAACGCATGGAGGTATATGTAATGTAAACTTTATAATTACGGCTGCAGAGTG